ATAATGCTTTGTATTAATGGCTTGTGTGAGATGATTACAAAAAGGATTGTGATGGTGTCATAACAAAGACAAAGGAAAAATATATATGCTAAGATTAAATCATAAACTGCCGCCAAGAAAATGGTGCAACGGGCAGTTATTAGAGCCCTTTGACCATGTTTACCCGTCTAGTCTGCGCCTGCTAGGCGCCGAGCTCGACCATGACCTCCCGAAGTCGAGTGCTGAGCTCGGCCTTGGTCGCGAGAGACCGAGCATCAAGCTTGGCCTTATAGCCGCGCGAGGCTGTGTGCAGAGCTCGACCTCGGAAGGCCGCTCGAGGCCGAGCATAGTGCTCGCTTGGGCTGTTCAATCAAGGCCGAGCTCAGGGCCTTGAGGCCAACTGCGGGGCGCCTTTGGTGCACGAGGCCACGGTCGATGGGGTCCGCCTCGAGGCCAACCTTGGAGGTTGGCTCAGATTATCTGAATCAGTCCATTCAGATCGATTTGCTCTGGATTTGTTATCAATACACCCATCAATAGCATTTAATTCAAAGAATTGGACTTGGCGTAATAAAGTGACAAAGTTCATTAAATAATTATGAATGTGGAAAATTTTAAACTCACGTGTAAGGTACGTATTTGGTACAAATATTAATTATAACAAAAAGTATATGGTTTGATCAAGAATGAGGTGCATGACTGCTCATATAGTCTTTCATTGTTCTAGAAAACGAATCTTCTTGGACAATTGAGATATTTGAAATAAAAATGCTCCATCGCCAACTATGCGTAAGCTAACATGGTGAGGATTTTTTTTTATTTTTTATTTTTAATCATATCAGATGTTTTCTAGTGAATGTATGTTATGATTTCACACATTGAGACTAAACTTGTTCATATATTACCAAGTAAGATCTCAAATAGTGATAAAAGTTCATTCATGGTTTTTAAAGTAGTTACATTTGTTGAGCATATAACCATTAATGTGCAATCCAACTATCAGCTTAGGCTTTTAGTTGAGATGGAGCACATGCTTCAAAGGTCATGGGTTCGAATCTCTACATCACCCGATAAGCGACTATGATCCACGTATTTGAGTATACCATTAATGTCTAATCCAACTATCAATTTAGGCTTGATAAGCGATAAGCGACTACGGTCCCGAGTATACCCCATTAATGTCCAATCCAACTATCAGTTTAGGCTTTAGGCTTTTAGTTGACATATCACTTCATATACAATCAATGTATAACATGGTGAGGACTGAGGAGCTATGGATAAGGAAATTAAAATAGTTTCCATGTTCGAATTGGCTTTATATACGATAAGCTTGGAAGACTTTTGAAATTTCAAAATAATTATTTTTGAACACCAATTTATAATATAAATGTTGCTTTACTAGTAGGTGCATGGTTGAAATTCTAGTGTATAAATATTTGAGCAACGACAGGCCATTAAAATGTATATCATAATTTAGTCTTTTTACTCGTCTTCAACACATATCAATCCTTAATAAGTTTATGATTAAAACTTATAATACATGCCTTTTCTATTTATTGTTGTAATGATTACAGAACTGCACAGAAACATAGGAGAGAGAGGACCAGTCAACATAGAAATTGGTGGGATTGGGCCGATTGGCTAATGAGGCATGCATGCGGAAGTATGAGTTTCGAGGGCTCCAAAACTATAATTAATGCAAATTACAATGTTACTTTGTCCTTCCCAAAATCTAAAAAAATAAATAAATAAATAAAAAATAGCCAATCTATACAATCAACAATCGTTATGATCAAGATTCACACTGCACTATAAATTTTAGTTCATTTGTTTGTGTTTGTTTAATTTATTATAATTTTTTGTGTCTAACATTATAAAATTATGTACCTTTTGAATATGAATTTTGTACATAAAACAAATTAGTAATTATATTATTTTAGAGATGCTGGATGTTGGACTTGACTTTTTAAGCCCATTAACGACTTTCACTCAACAATCTCACAATTACGGCAATTTATATCCTACACCACGGCGCGCGTTGCACTATGCGTCCAGATGCAAAACGACGTCGTTTTAATTTTTTTTTTTTAAAAATTTCCTGCCCCAGTGTATGGCAGTTAATTTTTCTTTAAAAAAAACCCATGTTCAAAAATGTACATAATGTTATACTAGAATACACATAATTGTATACATGAATGTACATAATTATATAACAGAATATGCATACTCTTTGTAGAAGATAATACACATAATCTAACATAATACATAATAAACATAAACTTTTAACATAATCACATCAACTCTTAACATAATACACACAAATTTTCTGATTCGAATGTACATAATTGTATAAAAAGAATGTACATAATTGTATAAAAAATGTACATAACTGTATGAACAAATATACATAATTGTATAAACAAATATACATAATTGTGTGAACAAATATACATAATCACAACAACTTCCTACCGCGCCTCCCAAAACGACGTCGTTTTGGCAGGCGCGCAACGCACAATGCTACGCGCGCCGTGGTGTAGGGTATAACGATTGCACAATTACCTAAATACTTGGTGTTAGACTTGGTCTTAGTCCTTTACTGACCTTCTCCATTAAATTAATTTAAGCTTACACCTGCCGAGGGAGCAGGCTTGCATTAAAAGAATTTCATCAGGCCAAATCTCAAATTCCAAGTTCTAATTTCTTAATTATGATATGGCTATATTAAAACACCCAATTGAATAAACTACTAATTACGGAGCAGCGGATAACATTAGTGCTATTTTAGTAGAATGGCAGAAGTAGTATTAAAAATAAAACGGTGTATAGTTTACGTTAATGACGAGCAATTAAGTTAGGAGGGAGAGACAGGATGGCAGAGCAGAAGAAGATGAACCCACGTTTGCCGTGGACACGTGTCGGTGTTCCCCATTCCTTAAAGCGGCAAAAAGATCCAGTCAAACCTTGTTAAAGATTAAAGAAAAGGGAAAACATCGCCGGATACAACAGTGTGTGTGTGTGTGTTTGACTAGTCAGTTTGCTTCGCTGCCACTTTCTGGAGGCCACGCTCCGTTTTCGAATACGCACCATTGGCTTTTTTTGATTTATTAGAAAACTCACGACTGTTATATTTAACGGTGCAAATTCAAATATCACATGCTTTAGTATTAGATGGAACTCATGAAAAAGAAAATTAAAGTAATTTATTTAAAATGGTGATTTTTAAATAACATTACTATGTGGACTCAAATTAATATTATAGATATTGACAAATGTATTTTATATCAATTATTACTTAAATTGACAACCGAGAATATGTATATAATATTTTATCATTAATACATAATTTAATGTGTGATGCGATCCCACAACGACTTCACAAGAAATTGTGAAGTGATACTTAAGTTGGGACAAGCTTCCACTCGTGAGCTAGTTTTTATGGTGAAGTTAGGGTCTTGGCTTGAGTACCGTATCAATATGTTATGCGTATAAAAATGTGTATATTCTCATATAAGATTACAATTTTGAATCATCTTTCCACGTCCTCATCTAGGTGCCAAGTTATCTTCCCTTATATTCAGCTCGGACTTAGGTGCCAAGTCCTCTTTCCCTTCCTTGGGCAAAAGCCTAAACCCCAAAGCCGGCAATGCTTTCATCCCGGAGTAAAACTTCAACAAAGTGATTCACACGTGTTTCTAGAGATGCAAGCCCTTGGTTGACACAATGGGTCAATCATTGAAGACCATCATCACCCATACATCTCGAGCCTTTGGCGACGATAAGTGTTAATGTTGGAACCGTTGGTAAGAAAAATAAATAATAATAAAAAATAAGATTATTATTTTCTGAAAAAATAGGGAAGGAAAGATGAAGAATTTTGGCTCGTATTTGGTGTTGGGTTTTTGCAAGAGTCAAGCAATCACTCTTTCCTTAAAATCTTATTTGCCACCTCCCAAAGATGCTAGGAGCGTTGTAGTCTAGGCTTCCCAGGATAAAACTTGCTATGATTCAGTGTTTGAGCATTCAAACAGAGAATCCGGCGAGCAAGACAAGGTTTTGAACACAGTAGGCTTAGAAAGAGAAGGAGTAGAAGCAGAAAAACTCTAAGTTTCGTGTTTCTCACTGTCTTTGATTTGCACCCCCCGCGCGAGAGAGCCTCTATGCTATACAATTCTACAAGCTTCAAAAGAGCTCTTGTATATAAGGGGGGAAATTCTCATTCCAAACCAATGTGGGACAAAAGCTCACTTTTTTCCCTAATTTTCCAACTCAATTGGGTCTACTTTGAGAATCAATATCTCATTCACCATTATCCGTTTTGAGCGTACAATATATCAATCTCTTCGTCTCACTACGAAGAACCCGAATCCACTTTGATCCGACCCAAATCGGAAGTGGACCCCACTGATAATTGTAATAGCCACTTAACATGCCATTTTAAGTTATTTTTTCTAACAGTTAACGCTCATTTAGTGTAGTATTTGTAACAATTTAAATTATCATCTTCTTAAGACATTTACAATTCTTATCCCCTATCTATTTATTTTGTGGGTTCAATTAATTCACAACATCATATAATCTCCTATCATATTTTCTCCAAAAACCTTTTCATTTTTATCTCCTTTTTTTCTTGGCTATACTTCTCCACACTCATATACATCGTCTATTATTTTATTTATTTTTTTTATAATTAATAATTTTAATTTTATAATTATAATTTCAAATAAAATAAATGAAAAAATAATTATAAAAAAATTAAATTAAAACTAATTCCAGTCACGTTAACTGAATCGTATATTATATCATATACATATTTTATATTTTTTTTGGCAAATTTTATAGAGACTCGAGTGAGGGTATAAAATACTGTGCAGTGTACATTATGCATTATTTTAGAAAAAAAGAAAAGAAAAGGGTGGTACGAAAAGATACACATAGGAGTTTGGACCACACGTGCTGTGGTCAAATTACTGCCTGCATCAGGAAATAATATTATTTCTTAATCAAATTAAATGCAGTAGTAATTATGGGAAGCCTCATTTTGTAGGGTTTCAAGCACTTGCCTGCCCCCATTGCAGCAGGGGGGAGAAGAGGGGCTCACATTTACAGATAGATAAAGCTCATAGCTTGCCTGTCTTCCTCTCAATGTACAGTTAATTTCATACATTTTGGTATGTTTTCTTAGCTTTCTCATTCTTTCTTGGGTTCTCTGATAAGAAAGATTGCAACTTTCTTCTTGTTAATTTGGTGGGTGCCTGTTGATTTTTGTTGTCTCTTACTTTTTTTTGGAATGGTATGAGTCTTTTTTTGGGGAGCTTCAAGAGGAAGATAGAGTGAATAGTGATTAGAGTAGTTGAGGTTTTGGTTTTAGGGAAGAGGGATTAGTTATCATCATCGTAGTGTTTGATGGTGATAATGATGGTGGAAATGGCACTATGAGTCTTTTGACCGGGGAAAAAGAGCTGAGATAAAGCTCAAAAAAGAAGAAAAGATGTCCCCCTCGATGTCCATTTGTGATTGCAGTACTAGTGTTTGTCAATTACAGGGAAAGTGAAAGACAGAGAAGACAAAAGAGTGAGAGACCCTCTTGCTCTCTTCCTTCTTTCTTTTCCTCTTTTTTATCCACACGCTTCGTGTCCCGCCATATGTGTGTTGAAGAAGACTGTTTCTTGTTTCTAAATTTAAAAGCTCTGCTCAAGTTTTAGTCCTAATTCCAAAAAAGGGTGTGTTTAAAAAAATGCCTATGTATGAGCCATCTATGGGGAGGAGGGAGGTGGGTGGACAGGTGTTGGATCTGGATACTGCTGTCAAAGATGGGATTTTGGGAGGGGGAGGTGGTGGTGGGGTGGTTTCTGGGGTTGGTATTTCAGAGAAGAAGATTAGTCTGAACAAAATGATTGAAGAACTTGATTCGATTGAGGTGCCCTGTGTGTTTATCTGCCCAATTTCCTTAGAGCCAATGCAAGATCCTGTGACCCTTTGCACAGGGCAGACCTATGAGAGGTCCAACATTCTCAAATGGTTGTCTTTGGGGCGCCTCATTTGCCCGACTACAATGCAGGAGCTGTGGGATGATTCGATCATCCCAAATAGTACTCTACACCACCTGATTTACAGTTGGTTTTCCCAGAAGTACTTGGCTCTGAAGAAGAGGTCAGGGGATGTGCAGGGAAGAGTCTTGGAGATTTTGGAGACTTTGAAGAAGGTTAAGGGTCAGGCTAAAGTTCAGGCTTTGAAAGAGTTGAGGCAAGTCGTCACTGCCCACGATTCAGCCAGGAGAACGGTGGTCAGTAATGGCGGAGTTACTTTGATTAGTTCCCTATTGGGCGCCTTTACTACGCATGCTGTTGCCTCGGAGGTGGTTGGGATTTTGGTGCACTTGGATCTTAGCCCAGATGCCAAGGCCAATTTGACACAGCCAACCAAGATTTCGCTAGTGGTGGATACGTTGAACGAGGGGTCAGTTGATACGAAGATCAACTGTACAAAATTGCTTGATATGTTGATGGAAGAGAAGGGCTCCGACTCCTCCGAGTCACAAATTGTGTCAAGTTTGAGTCTTTTGGTCGGGTTATTGAGATTAGTGAAGGATAAGCGACACCCAGTTGTTGTCTTGGCTGGTCTCAGGTTGCTCGTGATAATGTCCTCATACGAATCAGTGAGGGCCTCGATTGTGAGTGTTGGGGGTATCCCTCAATTGGTGGACGCCTTGCCCAACTTGAATGCTGAATGCTTGAACTTAGCCCTTCATATTCTCGAGGTTCTTTCAACACTTCAAGAAGGTGCATTGGCTCTAAAGGATTGCCCTAGGACCATCCCGAACGTTGTGAAATTGCTGATGAAAGTTCCCGAGAACTGCACTCAACTAGCGTTATCAATCTTGTGGGCAGTCTGCAAGCTCGCCCCCGAGAAATGTGCTTCACTCGCTGTTGAGGCGGGCCTAGCTGCAAAGCTCCTTCTTGTAATTCAAAGCGACTGCAATCCAGAGTTGAAGCAACGGTCCGCAGAACTATTAAAGCTCTGCAGCCTAAATTACACCGCAACTATTTTCATATCCAAGTGTAAACTTTCGAGAACAATAGAATGAAGTGAATTAATTGGTTTGTTATTCGTACACAGCTTTTCCCTTCTGCCCAGACGCCCCGGTTGCTATGGCTTCCATTCTTTCATATGCTTGAAGACATGATCTCAATCTAGACATCTAGTTCTCTCTTCATAGGCAAAACTGTTCATTGGCATTAGTCGTATATACTGAACCTTTCCAATAATCTTGGCTAACTAATGTAGCCCATGATTGCCTTTCCAATGTAACATCAAGATTCAAGGAATACAACTCCAAGGTCTAATATGATGTCTTTGTACTCTTTCTGGGCTATCCCATACCAGAATCTATCCAATTATTCTCACCGGGGGTTCCAAAATTTCATAATTGTAAAGATTGCTATCTGTAAGTTCTTCAGTTTCTTTAGATATAAAGTCAACAAGTACAATTGATTCTTTATTTCTCTACAATCTTTTGATTGCCAATTATTAGCCTTTTCCCCATCAAGCAATCCTTTCTTTTGCTTTTGCTTAATTATTATTATAAGCTTCACTACACCATATAGTTTTGGAATCATGTTTCTGAGCTTCCCAAATTTGAAATCTTTTGCTTCTTTTTGGAAAGGCACTAAGTTGAAGTCTAGCTAGCATTTCTGGCTTGTTCTGGGTCAGAACTTGTTGCAGTTTACAATCACTGAGCACATGCATTTTCTTTTCTTTTTCTTTTTCTTTTGTTCTGTGTTCAAATATGGATACAAAGAAAATCATTAAGGGTTGGGACCAAATCAAGTGTATGGTGCACACACACATAAAGGAAAAGGGAGATATTATTGCTAGGATTTACTGTGTAGAAAAGAAAACTGGATTCAACTTTCTTTGGCCTTGAACAATGCACCCCACGTACTCACCCTTGGACCAGGAAAAAGAAGTCGATAAAAATAACGGGTTGGAATGCGCCCGCAGAGTTTGACTCTTACTCGAAGAGAATTCTCATTGCACATTGTTACAGACTGTTTAGCATTTGTACTAAGATACTGGGTTTAGTCTAAGATTTTTAAACCTTTGATTAAAAGGAGAAAGGGGAACAAGAAGTTTTTGTTGGAATTGCAATTTCAAGGATCTTTGACTGAGACCAAAAAGTTAAAGTTGCGAAATTGCAGAAAAAAGGAGCATTTGGTGGTGAAGCTGTTGGAGGTGTGTTCCTACCTTGAAAGCTGGGAAGATAGAGTCAAGACTGTCCTCCATAAAGGCAAAACCATTCTCTCTTCAATTATTCCACCAATTTCATTATTTTATTGACATAAGGTTTCTTTGGTTACTGGTTCCACCTAGATCCTTGGTTTATGGTTCAACCTAGTCTTTTCATAACACTTAAGATGAGATTCAAATGTGAGACCTTCCATATGAAAAACAACAGTGAAGCAAATATCACTCGGGATTTGACCATGTCTACTGAATAAGTACAAAAAATTTATGCCTGCAAATCTTAAATACGGCTCAATTCAGAATTTCTCAACTTACTGCAGCATAAAGGGTCAATATCAGCCCACTGATATCGAACCCATAATTTCTAATTTGGAAGCGCTACTTCGTGCCACTAGATCACAAAAATTATACACAATTATTTATTGTTATTCTCCATTCATAAAACTTTTATGCCACTTTATATACTACGGAGTATTTATTAGTGTCTTGAGTTAACTAATTCTGTCAAATACTATGTTACAATTTCTCGTATCAGAAAAGCAATGGAGTGATGTCCATTAAAGCGAGGCCTAGTTGGCCATCATACTCCAGATAAGCTCAACGGCGGGGCCCATAAAGACACTGTTAACAGCGGAGCCCACTCCACGTCATTACAGCAACAAATTTTTTAAAAAAGGAATAAAAATAATAAATTTGGGCAGCGAGAGAAACAAAATCATAATCAGCTCCCACCCACTTTTCTTCATCAGATTTGAAAATCACCCAATTTAGGCACCTTTCTCTTCCCTTTCTCCTCTTCCTCGATCCGATCAAAATCGAACCGCCATGTCGTCGTGGTTAGCGCGCTCGATTGCCAATACCCTACGCCTCGACGACGATGAACAGAGCGGGGAGGAATGTGGAAACGACGTCGTTAAACGGGAATCGACCTGTCACGGTTCTTGGGAACAGCAGCCCGGGGAAGGCGATTGCGCGTACGAGGAAATCGATTTGGACGATCGACGCGAGAATGACGACGCCGAGGATTATATTGATGATGCCAATCATCCCGGCCGCGGCGGCGGTGTCAAAGAGGACTTGTCTGAATTGGGAGAAGCCCTAAGTCGGCAGCTGTGGGGCGTCGCTTCATTTCTAGCACCTCCGCCTGCTGCGACTAGTCTTCCGAGCCAGAATTCGGATCAATTGGAGTCTGATCGAGTCCATAGTAGGCTTTTTGATCGTGAGTCTGATGAGGAAGAGGATGGGGATTTCGTGGAATGTGAGAATTTCACGGAGTATGAGGTGGAGGATAACGTGGGTGATGCTGTGGGGGTTACTGAGGAGGCGTTGGCCTTTGCTCAGAATATAGCTCATCATCCCGAGACTTGGCTTGATTTTCCCTTATCAGAAGAAGATGAGGAATTTGATGGTTTGCACGATTCCTCGTATCATTCATGTTACTTTCAATGGATTTTATATCCTCAAGTGTTCGTTTTTGGGCGGTTTAGTTGATGCTATGTGCTTAAAGATGTCTAAAAATCGAATCTTTATCTTCTCATGGTTGCTAGTATTTAAGTGAACTCTTGGAAATTGAGGTCCCGGTATTGTTGACGAGTATGAACCTAATAGGGGATGGGTATGGTGTATGTGCTTGTTGCTTTCTTGTCTTACAGGCAATGCCTAATGCTTTATGCTCATTGTTAAGCCTAGTTTCTTCATCTCATATGCCATGCCTAATGCTTGCTGTCACTTCTAGAAGCATAGCATCATTGCATCTTTACTTGCCAAGAACTTTAGTGTTGCAAATTTTCTCTAATCTCTAAGAGATGATTATCTATGAACTGCACTGCCTGGTGTTAAGCCCCAGACAGTATTGCTGGGAGCTCTTTTGTGGATTCACTTCAATTCTTAATTTGTTATTCTTGGGAAATGACATTTTCAACTTTAATCATAGTGCTCTTTTTGCCCTGTTCAGATTTTGAGATCTCCAAGACTCAGGTCAATCATGTTGTTGCAATTGAATGTTTAGTTCCTCGGCTACTAGCTCTAAGAATTGAACTCTGCCCTGCCCATATGACTGATGCTTACTTCTGGATGGTGTACTTTGTTCTTCTTCACTCAAGACTTAATAAGCATGATGCCGAGCTTTTGTCTACACCGCAGGTTAGTTAATATATGTGGTACTAGTTGTCACACTGTTAAAATATGTAATTATATTTTTCAATGAACTATATCAATAGAAGTTCATTTTATCTCATTCTTTTAATTTCTTTCCTTTGCTGAATATCAACTTGGGGGTGGCACCCCGTTTGTGGAGACACTTTTTTCTCCGGTAATGCTAAAATGATATTTTCCATATCTGGCATGGCCTTGTGGTGGGAGGACCAAGTGGAGAGGAACATTCTCTTCTTAAAGTCACTGCTAAAGTGTTAATGTTAACAGAATGGTTAGACTCAGAATTTTGTGCATGAACTAATATTTAGCTGTTTGAGCTGTGAATGATTGGATGGTTTCGGCTGGTAGTGTCGCTTGCAGTGCTTTTGATAATTTTAAGTAGTTGGCATTTTGTTATGAGCACTTGACGGTTTTATATTTCAAAAGGGCACTGACTATATAGCTACAAGACATTGCATGATATTAGTTTGTGCATGAAGTATTTTAACTTCTGATATGCTCATCCCCTCCAGCTTGTGCAAGCAAGGGCAATGTGGATAAAAGAGCTGCAAAAGAAAATGAATCCTGAGTCAGATTGGGCTGGAGTAAATACTTTCCACTCAAAAGAAACCCCAGACTTACTGCATGAAGACTTTGATTCTCTATCATCTGAAGATACCCACTCAAGAAACACGTCTAACACAGCATTTGGCTATGAACATCCTTCATCTTTCAATGATACAACTGATGTTGAAACTGAGAAGCATCCCATTGAAACTACAGAGATCCAGTTCATAGACAAAGCTGTTATTGCTGAAGACTTGGCAAGCAAGACTGTAGACAAGGTGGTGGTTACTACCACATCTTATAAACAACCTATCTTGGATTATGAAGATGATGATGAGGATGACTGGCTAAAGGACAATCCCGAACTGGAAGGATATTCTGGCCCTACCCTTGTGGGAAATGAAGAAGATGTGTCATTTAGTGATCTTGAGGATGATATTGATTGTACAGTGCCCTCTAAAACAACGGCAATTCCTCCCGAACATCTTAAGCTTGGCCAACTTCCAAAAAAGATCTAATTTTCCCAAAGTGTGCTCTCACCACCTTTTTCTTTCTTGGTGATACAATCAGAAATGTACTGAGGACTCCTGTGCTTCATGCAGAAAATGTCTCAAGTCTTCTGGCATCGAACTAAGGCAACGAGGCAGAGGGGGTTAGCACTGTGTGAGTTCCGGTTTTTTCTGGTGGCATAGTTGCAAGTAGCATGGATATGAAATTTGTAAGGGTGAATACCATAGCCAATGACCCCTCATTAGATGGAAGGTGCTCCTCTTTTATTTCATTTTATTAATTTTTTTTTTTTTTTAAAAAGAGAGGTTTTGCTTGTTTAATTCTTTTCTGATGATTGTGGAGTATCTTAGTAGTGGTTGGGGGTGCTTGCTACACCTCGTGTACACAAAAAGCATGATTGTATTTGTACATAAGCAAATAATTGTTTGCTTATAAACTGGAATTTTTTCAGTCCAGAATCTCCTATAGTACTGTAGTAGGTTGCTTTATATGAGAAAGTAAAATGTACATTTCAAATATTTTTGGTTTGAAATTATACTGAATCAAGCAAAAGCTAGCCAAATAACTTGTCCACATGAATATGAAAGTGTAGATAAATTACGATAACTCAATAGTCTCTTAAATAATTGTAATTTAATCTCTTAGATAGTCGTAATTTTTACACTGCAACTATCAAGTTTTGACTCAACAAACTAGAATGCTGAATCTATACGAGTATACAGTGACCGGAGAGCCATACTTATTACAAAATCCAATCAGAAAGTTCGTCATCCAAGAACATTAAATCAAAGCATAAGATACTCAAATCAATGCCAGTAACCGTAAATATCTCAAAATCGAAGAAATTTGCAACCAATTAACTTACGCTTCTAAACATCAGAGCATGGCATAATCAAACCAATTACCCGTAACCGCGAACAAGAATCCGACAGCGAAGTGAAGAGAACCATAAAAGTTCTAAATCGAAGAATTTCGCAACTAGTTTATGCTACTAATCATTAACATCGCCGAAGCATTAGACAATAATATCAAGTAAACTGATGCCAGATTAAGGCAAATTATGATGTTTAACTACACGGTTTCAAAACTGTTCATAATTATGAATTTAAAAATTATGAACATAGAGTTGTGAACATAGAGTTCTGTAATTATGACTAAGATTCAATAATTGTGAATATGAAGTTCAAAAATTATGAATATATAGTTTTATAATTATGAAAATATAGTTCAGTAATTATGAACATAGAGTTCTGTAATTGTGAATATAGAGTTCAACAATTATAAATATGAAGTTCAAAAATTATGAATATATAACTTTATAATTATAAACATATAGTTCAATAATTATGAACATAGAATCGTGTGCACCTTGAAAGGTGGACACAATTTCACAGCATAACGACTTTTAAAACTTGTAGAATTAGTCCACAACTATGACTTTCTTAGCAAAATTGGTCCTTTCGGTGCATTCTTTCGTTCAATTTTTGCCGGAAAATTTTTTGGCATTTATGAGGAGGGTGAAACTGAAAGTGGAATTGGAATTGGGTGACTTTTACGGAGTAATTTCAATCACTGTACCACTGACTGTAATTAAACGGAGAATGGTGTGTGAATCTGTTGTTATATCGAAATGAAACTGTAATTGTGTTGAATTGAAATTACAGTGTATACAAAATGAAATTAAATAACAGAATTACTTTTTGTGAAACGGCGCGAAACAACACGAAACAGGTGTCGTTTCTTTTCATTAAACAAAACAATGTTGTTTTGAAGCTCCTGGCACGATATAATTTGCCAACACGCACGAACTACGAAACAGGTATTAACAATTTGCCTCCTGGCAGCGGATTGGCCGAACGCCGCAAAACGCCACGGATCATAGAAGAAACCAAATGCCAAAAAGATTCAGACCACCACTTTTCTTTTCATATTTCATGAAGAATTAAAAGAAGAAAAATCTTTTCCATTTCCAGCCACAATTTCCCTTTTATTCCATTTTTTTCTGGACTCAAATGAATGACCCATTCAATACAAACAAAACCCAGCAAGACAACAAGATCCATAATCCCTTCTCTTTTCGTCTGATTCTTTCTGCTCAAACGGCTCATAATCACATCAGGTTCGTCTTTCCTCCATAATCTATGCTAGTTTTTTCTCCAGAATTTTCAACTGTGTCAGCATTTCGGAAAACGAAAACCTAATTCATTGATTTGTTTCTTTTTTCCAATCGATGCATATGTTTAATCGATTTTGAGCTTTGTATTGGAACGTATATATAGATGGATTTTGAGTTTGTAAAGAAAGGTTTGATCTTGACGCCGAAGAAGAAGAAATGGTTGATTGCACTTGGGGTTATTGGGGCATCATCGTATGGTGCATATAGAGTGTATAATATACCGTCTATTGTGAGAAAGAGGAGGAGAATTATGAAGGTGTTGTGGGCTTTAGTGTCTGTAGGTGAAATGGTGTGTGAATCTGCTGAGGCTGTCACTGTTGTGTCCAAGGATTTGAAGGAGTTTTTGCAGTCTGATTCCAATGAAATTCCCAGTAGTTTTAAGCAACTGTCGAAAGTTGCTCGATCTGAGGAGTTTTCAAAGGCATTGAGTAGAGTTTCAGAGGCTGTAACATCTGGGGTATTGAAGGGGCACCATAAGTCAGCTGGAGATGTTGGAAGTTCAGATTTTTCAGATAAACTTATGGATAGGTTGACCAGTAGTGCTGGGGCCGGGTTTGCTTCAGTGGTTGTTGGTAGCTTCGCGAAGAATTTGGTTATGGGGTTTTACTCGAACAGCCAGTCTCGTGAGGACATGGATGGGAATCATTGTCCTGGGAATCATCCAAATTCATCCACTCCCCCGGGTTGGGTAGATGCAGTGTTTGGTGATCGGTCTAAAGTACTGATGGCAGATTGTATACAGACGTTTGTAGGCACTGCTATTGCTGTTTATCTTGATAAGACGATGCATATTAACTTCTACGATGAGATGTTCTCTGGAATGACTAATCCTAAACATCAAGCCGAAGTTAGGGACATTATGGTTTCCCTCTGCAATGGCGCTGTGGAAACTCTGGTCAAGACTTCTCACCGAGTCTTGACATCTAATCCTGACCCGAGTTTGAGTTTGGCATCCTCTGTTTCCATTGTTGATCACAGCGACGATGATCCAACCCAAATGAATGGCAAGGATTTCAAGAACGCATCTCCAGAGAAGAGCCAACCCATCGATCTGCAGAGTAACGGATGGCTGAGTAGTGTCTCGTCCACATTGGCAGTGCCAAGTAACCGGAAGTTTGTGCTTGATGTTACGGGCAGGGTGACATTTGAGACTGTAAGATCCATAGTGGAGTTCCTGGTATGGAAGATGTCGCAAAGCTTGAAAACAAGTGTTAATGTAGTTCAAGAAGAAGTGTCGGAGCGGGGGATGGATGTGATCAGATACATTTGTGCCAAATCTTCTGTTATTCTTACAATATGCCTTGCATTGTTGTTGCATATACTGGGCAGTACTCACAATCTGTTGCCTGCCCAAATCTGATTCATCTATACTCTACATATTATGCAGGTTTAGTTTCTTGGATATAGATCTTCCATTCCAATAAGGACCATGTATAGAATTGTTATTAGCCTCTATAATAATTGCAAAGTACACATTTCTTGTAACCAAGTCTTCTTAAGGGTATGTGTAAATGAGGAATCTTGAAAACATATTATTGTAGCAGTAATGTTAGTCCAAAGCTGTTGGTGCATAACTCAATTGGTTAATTAATTCAAAAAAAATAATGTTAATTCTACTTCATAGTTGATGGTGGTCTCGGGATTAAGGCAACAAAATACATATTTCTTAATTTACCTCATTAACAGGCAGGCAAAAGCTTTAGACTTTAGAGTCGAAAGTTCTTGGTGCATAACTCAATTGATTAATTCAAAAAAAAAAATGTTAACTCTACCTATAGTTGATGGTGGTCTCAGGATTGAGGCAACAAAATACATATTTCTTAATTTACTTCATTAATAGGCAGACGAAAGCAATGAAGAAAACTAATAAAACTAATTGTATTGTATTAACTGACCTTTCAGATGATAGAATAAGAAGTTTTAAATTGGCTCATATACATAGAGTCGTAATACAGATAATACTACATACACTCTCAAATTCTACTTATATTTTACTTTTTACTTACGAAATAAATTATGATTCATCTAAAAAAGTGACCCACAATTGTTATTAATCCTTCTCTTATATAACTAAAATTACCCAAAAATTTACTTCATAAGAGTTTTATATCATTTTCTCCTATTTTCCAAAAAAATATCATTTTCTCCTACCTTCATGGCTGGTTGTCCAAAAAAAGAAAAAAAATGAACTCTATACGATAACAGAGGCAGTTACTTTCCAGCGCATAACAGACCACTCGTACATAATTGGCTTCACAAGCCAACTAATTAACCGCGCCATTGACCCACAACAGTAATACTATGGTAACTCTCCCGTAGAGAGAGAGAGAGAGAGATAGAGTGAGGGAGAGAGAGAGCGAGAGAGAAAGCGCTATGCGTTGCCTCGTGGCATCGGCAATCAACGCTACGTCTTCAACTTTGCATATTTGCAACTTCTCTGCACTCTATCCTTGTTAACTTCGCGATTTCCAAATTAGTAAAATCAGCGTCTCGATATTCATATTGATTGAGAAACTTCAGAAGCTTTCTTCAGCAATTCCGTCTGAGAAATTCGCAACAAATCTTTATCAGGTGAAAACTAAAGAACAACATACACAATGCTACTGGGCAACGGAGGAGGCCAAACCCCTAGTCGGTGAGTTTTCCGTTTTTCACTAAGATTTTGTTCAACATTTCTGATTCGTTCTTCCGGTTAGGTTTCAAAGTCGTCTGCTTTTGAGATTCAAAGGGTTGGTGGCAGTTGAACACTTTTAGCATAAAATTGCAATTTTGGATTGAATTCGCATGATGCAGGGCTAACTGCACTTGTCAGTTTCCATATATTAACCGTAATTAGCATTGTACGTCAAAATGAGCTCTTGGTTAGCATTTGAGCCATTGGAAACTTTTTTCCTTTGCCAGGGTGGGCGGTGGTGGTGGTATTGTTTTGGAGAATGAATTAGTGAAGTGGCAATTAGAACAAATTCAAAAGGTTTCTTTGCAATCTATCCTAGCTTAATCAACCTTTGGCATTTAAATGCCGGGGTTATCTCAATTTTCTAGTATTTCAAAAACACTGCATACTTGTTGATTTATAAACAAAGGAAGAATTTTTAGGATGGTCAAAGTGATGTTCTTTGAGCTAGGAAAGGATAAGAAGGATACTAACATTTTTCTTTTATCTCCATGTGTCTATTTTCATTTGCCTTTACTAACTCAATATCTGCCATAAAGGTTTGAGTTGTTGAGTATGGTGAAGAAGCACTCAAAATTTTTAGGGAAAACCATAGTGGAGGAGGAAGATCCATCGGATGTGGAAATGGATCCACAGTTCTGGCATGAAGTATTGGATTTGTATTTCGTATGTGGAAAGGAATCCAGAGGCCGTCAGGAGGATGATCTCATATTCTTCGTCCGAAAAATGGTATAATAGTTCTGGTTTTAGAATTGTTGTATTAGGTGTGATATGCAAGATTCATAAAGCTAAACCATGGGTCATAATGTATGAGTTGTTAAATGTAGCACAATGCTTTTATTATTATTTTTTCGGAATGTGTATGCAGAGTTTGCAAGGATATGAATCCAATGGCAACAGTGAAGACAATTCTCCTTACTTTGTACGGAGGTGGTCACCTAAGGTAAAGGCATTATTAGTCTTTCCTCCAAGTATTGTTCACTTCCATGTCTAGAAATTCCTCCAAAATTCACATTAGTGCAACATAGTATTAGTACTACCGTGATTTTATCTGATGGAAGTTGTTTTGTTTGCATGGGTAAGTTCAGAGGTCAATGTTTTTAGAATTGAAGATGAGTTCTGATGGTTGAAGTTGTGGATGATATACTTTACTTAATTTCCTTGCAGTTGGATGATTTACTTGGTGAGAACTCAGTAGGTGTGGATTGGAGGCGCTCATATTACTTGAACTTGATTGCTCATACAACTTTCAGTGTGACAGTGGCAATTTGCAGGTAATGCTCTTCTCTTGATTTCACTACTACTGTGATTTGAAATTCAAGAAAAGGTGGCATCTTCTTAGCCACAGGGATATTTCTCTTCTGTTTTCGAAGATTGTATTGTAATTGATATGGATTAATTTGTATAATCTACTAATCTAGTGCTAGTGAGGAGAACTATTTGCTGAACCCCATGCATCTAATTGTTTATTTGTCATGTCTGTCAGATAGGCTTAATATTTGGTTCTTCTGTTTTACTAAAGCAGCGATGGTATTGTCTGCAAACTGTGTACCTGAGTCGCTATACCTATCTTTATCATTCAAGCTAAAACTTTAAGATGTTTGTCCCTTTCCTTGTAATAATGTCCTTCCTCACTTTCTTTTAGTCACGAGGTCCTTAAAAATTACCAAACTGGCAAAGACAAGCCATTGTCTCCTATATACAAGGTAACTGAAGAACATAATTTATATACTCTATACTTAATTTTTTCTCACTGTTTACTTGTCAACACCATCGTGATCTTTTTTTTTTTTTTTTTTGTAGGTTGTGAAGACTGTCTATGCATCTCCAAGTCGTATTAATTTTCATTTGGACTCAAGAAAGGCAAGTTTTGCTAATGTGCATCCCTCCATGTATTCTAGTGAATTTTATCTTACAACTTCACACATACGCTGCAGGAAGTAGAAACAACTCCTGCGTATCCAGATATATGTTTTGCCGTTGATGATTTTGATTCTACTTTTGATGCAGTGGTAATGCATTGATTCTCTTCTTTAGTATTTTGAAATGCTATCTTCTCCTTTTTTTCTAGCTTTGGACTGTGGTTGATTTAATAAGATAAGGAGGAATGCTTAACCATAGTTGCAGAAATGTTGGTAGAATTACTTATTACACTAGTTGCTGTTCATAGATGCATTCAAGCTTTAGCATGCTGTTCATACTCACTTTGATGAGTCTGTTTCCCCAATTGCGTATATTTATGTGTCCCATATGTTTTAATGTTTTGATGAATCATGCCTTCAGGGCTAGAAACCTCCAAATAACATCTTTTCCAGGTTTTGACAGATGTGGACCACTGCTATTGTGTAATTCTAAATGCAAATGATGGGGCTGCATTTCCCAGTGACTCTTCCCAAAGTGAGACAAGTGGTGGAAAGACTCAGAGTTCAAAGGTTTGAATATCATATTATCATCACATATTTAAGTTAATTGTAACTTTACCTTTTCTTTACTTTTGAGTATTTCAGTAGATCTTTCATCTAACTTGGAAATGAAAGAGCTGGACTCTTTTAATTTGCTTTGCATACAGTAAATGGTAGCTCATTTAAAATGTACTTCATTTTTCTCACATTGTATTGATTGCAACAACTGGCATGAAGGCAGCAGTCACCATCTTCACCCCCCCCCCCCCCCCCCATCCCACACCACCTATCTGCGCTCTTTACAGAGAGAAAAGAGAGGAGACGATCTGAAAGAGAAGAGTATTAGTATTATCCTGTTAATTAAATGTCTTCCCTGAAAAACAAGTTTCCTTACTAGTGATAGTTTAGGCTTGATGAATTTGCTTTTCTCTGTTCTAAATTTTTTCAGAAACATGTTCAGGTTTTTCAGTTTTTACATTTGACATTCCCACCTACCTGTGCCTGCTTTATAGTGTGCAAATCTCTATAATACTCATGCATTACATGATACACTTGTGCACATTCCTGACAGTTGGTAATTTGTGATTCCAGATCACTATATTCTCGGGTTTCGTTAGCTACCAGATGGTCCGAGATGCCTATGATGGTAAAACACGCTGCTTTTCTGTTTCACCAGCATGCAATGTTTTTGGTGTTCTGAATCATGTGATTTACAACTAATTTAGCATCCAGACTTCTGATTCATTATCATTACTTTGAATGCTTTGTCTGTGATCATTTAGTTCATATACAAGATGCACATAGTTGTAGGATTTGAGTTCTACCTAACCAGTAACTGCACAGAAACCTGAGTTGGTGTTATTTATGGGCTTTTGATATCAAACAGTCTCTAAAGTTGAATAGGTGATACTTAGTCCAAAGGTTGTGACACTGTGATCCATACCATCAATTTGTTTAAAATGTCACATCATGCCCAGACATTTTAATTCCTTGGGCTTATTAATGTTATCTGAAGTCAGTACTAGCTTCTGAGGAGATTCTTTATGTTGGCTGACCGCATAAGTTTTTTCATCTTCCTATACCAATTTGATATGAAAAGAGACGGTAGACACTTAAGAACTGAAAGGATGTGAATAAAAACAGCTATTGCATACTTGATTCAATTTCCTGCTGTGTGCTGTCTGAAGTTTCTAAGCCTCCACGTGTTGTTGCTTTTGATTCTTAGTTCATTTTTTCTCTAACTTCTAAATTTGTATATCCAGTTGTGAAGCAAAAGCTAATTTCTTTCTTTCTTCTTCTTCTTTTGAATAAACTCTGTGGCAGCTGGAAGAACTGGATTTGGGAGTCTTCTTTCACTTCATTCTTCAGGGAAAACGGACAGGATATACATGAAAGGTCCAGGAGGACGTGGGGAAGTTGAAGTAGCTGTTTCTGGTGTTGTAGGTAATTTGGAAATTAGTTTTACTTACTTTTGCATGTCATGATTTCAGTTTTGCACCAGACCAATTTTTTTTTTTCTTTATATATTAAACTTGTTTATCTCGTAGAGAACTAATTTCAATTTTAGACCCTGAACTATACTGGCATTTCAATTTCATTTATATTACCCGATTAAGATTTGGTGTAATGCCGTCTATTGAAAAGGGGTAATGCCACTTGCCCCAATTTTTTTGCATCAAATCTTATAGTGCAATCCTTTTCTTTCAACAAATCGTCTCTACCAATGGATTTAAGATTGACGGTTTGAACTTTGAAGTTGTAAGTGTCTCACAACTTTATTTCATAAACAGTGTTATACACCAACAATTACCTTTTATTTCAAAGAGATATTGAACTTTTCTTTTTGCATACATAGCAATCAACGATAAATAATGTTGGTCCGTTTGTCAGATCAAAGCAAGGAGGAATACGGTCATCATCCTCCTAAAAAAGGATTAAGTTTCAGTGCAGTTGTTCGAAGGGCAGCATCAGTTGCATCGGTGGCAGCTAAGCATGCTTATGCTGCTGCTTCTGCTACACGGAGCTCAGATGAAGAGATGATCCCCCTAAAGTGTTGCTTAATGTCAATATCATTGCCCTGGGAGCACATCGCTCATGATCTTCTCCTTAAGGTTATATCTCTAACCTCTGCTAATTTCTTACTCCACCACAGACAGCATGCCTTCTTCCCTTTTCCAGTTTTGATAAACTTTTCTTTTGTCTTATTGCTTAATGCAGGGAAGTCCCCCGGTGAACTTGTAGGAATGCAGATGATTGGTGATGGGCAGTATCAACTATCAAGTACTTTCTCAACTTTACCTTGTAGATGAGTATATCCAAGATTAAACTAAGAAAACATGCATAGCGAGCTTGGTTAGAAAGCATTGTGATATCATGTCTTGTACATTACAGTTCTCTTGTCTGATTTGATGCTCAATGAAGGTTGCATTAAGTTAGCCCCCAAATTTCCCAAATTCTTCTGGAACAAAACATATCACATATCTCATGCATCGTTTAAAATTTCAAACACAGAAATAGAAAGGGAGATAGGAAAGTGAAAACCAAACCAAACCAAACCAAAACAAAGGCCGCATGTTATTCTGCACTTTTGTTGTGTTACAAGATTGCAGCAAACACTAGACAAAACAAAACCATTATAGCTGCCTGCCAACCAAGGATTACCTACTTACCTGAAAATACCAGCTACTAAACCGAACTGATTGAGGAATCTTCTGACTGTCCTTTGCTAATTCTGTGATCTGATTTGTTGTTTCAAGTTTCTTAATTGGTATGATTCTTCATCATTAAGGTTAGCTACAACTTTTTCTCTGACCCCATTTACCTAATAAGCAAAGCATTCAAAGAAAGAAAGTTCTAACTTCCACAAACTTCAATATCCCCCCCTTATACCAAGGGGGCCACCTATATTTTTCTGTACTATTACTGTGACCAACTTCACCTTTATGTATAGCATTCCCAATAGTCATGATTATTCATAACCAATCATTAAGGTTGCATTTATTCAATTCTCCAAAAAAATATATATATCATTTTTCCAGTTAGTAAATGCACCCGATATGTCTAGGTAAAACATGTCATTTGCTGATGCTGCACATAAACATTGCAGCATTGCCAGCATATTCCAAGAATTATTACTTTTTCCAGTTTAGTTTATGTATTAATATACTTGAAAGTTGAAAGAGATATATGGTGGTAAATGATGTCATATACTCATATCTGATATGATTTACAGCTTATTTCTGAGTGTATAGATATCTTCATCTTTTCTTTCTTTTTGTGTATGTTTAATTATACAAAACTACACCTTTAAATTAAAAAGAATAACCAGAGGTCTCGGATTCGAGCCCAACAAAGACAGTTACCTTAAAATTGACGAAGGAATGTTTTGTCACCTGAGTTCCTACTCAGCATAAACAGAATTAGTGGGTTTTAGACTTTTAGTCAACTGGATGAAGAAACCTAAAATGAATGTTCCCTTCTAGTTGCATGGACTAGAATTCATTGCACCATTATATGATATGAAGTATGATCCTCTACATACTGAGCATGAACCTTCTTCTTCTTCTTTATATATTATATCTTTTGTGGAGGAGAGTGCACTTACTTTTAATAAAAGTTGAAATCTTGAACTGATTCCACAAGTGACGTGTCCATCCTCCAACCTCCATAAATACATGACCACTCTACTACTCTCTTCCCCCCTTTTCCTCGTTTGATTTCACGTAGAAACACACAAAAAAACACATTGACATATATAGTAGTTGAAGATGATGTTTGGAGAAGATGCGGCGGCCATGGTTGATGACTATGATTTCAGTAGCAGTGAAATCCAGCAACTTCTATCTGTTTCCTCGGACACGTCGTCACCAGACGAGAAAAAGCGGAAACGGCGGATACTAAACCGGGAATCAGCCAGGAGGTCGAGATTGAGGAAGAAAATGCAATTGGAGAAGCTGAACGAGCAAGCGAAGCTGCTCGCCGTCGAGAACCGGGAATTGAAGAGGCAGCTGTTCGTGGTTGCGCACCGGTATCAACTCGTCCGAACGGAGACAAACCGGCTTCTGTCGGAGGCCGTTATCCTGAAACGACAACTCGACATTTTGTCCCGCCGGCTCTTCCTCGCCGCCGCCCGCCCCCGCCTTCAACGCGTGCATTATAGTATGTAAGACATGAAATTAAATTATTCTTCAAACGCTCACCCTCGTTAATTACAACTAATCCGATATTAGAGTCCTAGCAATAATATTATGTTGTACTAAATAATTAAAGTTGAGGCTTATCATCATGATCATCTGATCATCAGCGTTGTATATATTCCATGATAATATATACCGAGTATATATATTATACTGCTCGTGTTTATATATCTGAAAACTTGAAATTAAGACTAATTTGATTTGTCATGGACCGAATGACTAATCATGATAATAACTCTTACCCCCCTTAAGGTTGGGGTTCAGCCTTTGGAAGAATGATAATAACTCTTACCCCAAAAGGCTGAATCCCCAACCCGACAGGGGCCAAAAATGTCAGTGCGTACAAGGAATCTGTTCATTTTGGACATAATGAACCTTGATCTCTTACCTCAAATACTGCTCACTAAACCATTGAGCTAAGCTCGTGTGGGTTCATGATAATAACTCTAATATATAGTTTGAGTGACAAGAGAAATCGTAGTCACTATACAGTGTACGAGATAAATGACATTTTTATACAATAGCTTTTAAATTACATAAAAGATGTAAATAGTATTAAGAAGATCTGTACGTGGAGGCTGTCAACGACTGTGGCTGTGAGGTTAGCGCCATTGCAGGCAACATCCTCCACGCATGCAAAAAGGAACTGGAATCCATTGGTTCTTGGCACCTGGCCCCTATTTCGAGGGACCAAAACCATCTGGCCGACAGTGTTTCTAAGCTCCACGATAGACAGCACCGAACGTCTATCTTTGATATTCCTCCTGTTGACCTTATTAGTAGACTAGATGACGACCAATTTGGTATCCCCATTTGACGCCTTGTTGTCGCTTAAACCTCTATTTGGGTCACCCCCTTCTTCTTTGATCTAAAAAAAAAAAAGAAGATCTGTACGACGGGCTAGACACTAATATATATTTTTTGTATCATACATAAAAATAATGGACGTGCGTAATTGGTTAGATATTGTCGGCCGGCCTAATTGTGCACCGTGCAAATATGATAATAAATAAATTATAGAAGCTTTCTGGTAAAAGTGAAGCTTTTTATATATGTTGGAATTAATGCATGCATGCCACCAACAGCATATGTTATTTCATAGCATAAAGAAAGTGAATTCGGATCATGTCTATCCCAAAAAAATGTATTGTATACACCCATATCTGCTGCATGAAGGACTTGTATTATTTGTCAATAGAAACTTTATTCTTTTTTACTTTTTTTTTAAAAAAAAAAAAAAATCCCTTTTCCTTTCCTTTTACATTGATGTGTGCATGCATGCATTAAATTAAGAAAAATTAAATTATAAAACTTTTTCTCATGTTTGAACTTTGTAAATAGATTTTTCTCTCACATCTGACTGAAACTTGAGCTCGAAAAGAATGACAAATTATATCATGTACCAGGGTCTACCTTGCATTGTAGACCCTGGTCTAAAAATAACCGTACCTTCAGATTTTGTATCTATAGTTAATACATTTTGTACGTGCACTTGATAGTTTCTATACTTGTAGCTATCATATTATATGTCAGCAATTATCAAGTCAAATTCTGTATCTATAGTTGACACATTCTGTACCTGCATTTATAGTTTCTGTACTTGTAGCTATCAAGTTATTTGTTTATATGTATAGAAACTGTTAACTGTAGGTACATAATGAGTTAACTGAAGGTACATAAATTTTGTATCAGAGTTCACAATGCAATATAAACCTGGTCAATGGTATAACAATTGGAAAATAATGGCAATTTATATCCTGCACCACGACACGCATTGCATTGTGCGCTCTGATGCAAAACGACGTTGTTTCAGATTTTATTTTATTTTTTTTTTGAAATTTCGCTACCCTCATGTTCAAAAATGTACATAATTTTATACTAGAATACACATAATTGTATACATGAATGTACATAATTGTATAACAAAATACACATACTTTTTTTTTTAAAAGATAATACTTATAATCTAACATAATACATAATATACATAAACTTTTAACATAATAAACATCAACTCTTAACATAATACACATAGATTTCCTGTTTCGGATGTACATAATTGTATATAAAAAAAAAAAAAAAGATGTACATGATTGTATAAAAAATGTACATAATTGTATAAAAAATACACATAATTGTATAAACAAATACACATAATCACGTCAACTCCCTACATAACGTACAAAAATGACATTTTTTTGGGGGGCGCGAGGCCCCAGTGCTGTGCGCGCCGTGGTGCAGGGTATAACGATCCGAAAATAATTATATAATAATAATAAAAAATTAGAAATACAGTTGGGCTTAGTTAATGGACTTGTGTATTGGGCTTATATATGTGCGGAATTGCGGATGGCCAGATCCCGGTAAGGTAAGTTATTGGTAAGGGCATAATTGTAAAACGCAACAAATTCAAATCGCAACGCCTAGAAATACAGCCCGCTCCGATTGGAGCGCCCCACAGATTCGAAAAGATCAGCCATTTCAGACCTTCTTCATCTCTAACTTTGAGGCTGCAATCTGAGACAGACAACGGGGAGAGATGGAGAAGGTGAGCGTAGCTGTGAGAGTGAGACCGGCGAGGAGTGAAGACGGCAACAATGGAACCTTCTGGAAGGTTGAAGACAATCGCATCTCTCTTCATAAGTCTCTTGGCACCCCCATTTCTGGTGTTTCCTACGCTTTTGGTACTCTCTCTCTCTATATATATGTATAAGCACATTTATTGTGTCTATTTTACGAATTTATGTTTTAATTTGAACGTAGTATTAGAAATTTGGTCAATTTTTTGAATTGTTTTTGTGAACTGATGAATACTGGATTTTATTTTAACTGCAGATCACGTGTTCGACCAGGATTGCACCAACGCTAGCATTTATGAGCTGATCACTAAAGATATTATACATGCTGCTCTTAAAGGCTTCAATGGTATGCTCTCTTTCCGGGTTTTTTTTTTTTTTTTTTAAATTTTATTTTTAATGTGTAAGGCTTCTGTAGCTCTAGATTTAAGTTTAATAGTCTCCGTTCAACTTGAAATGATAAACACAACAGATTGTTTCAGAATTGTCGTTATTAAATGCTAAAATCTAAGCCTATGCTTCCAAACTGTTAACAGAATTTCACTTCTAAGTAAGATTTGTTGCATAACAACTTTAATTGAATGCTCAAGGGTGCCGGGTTACAGAAAAGATTTCTTCGGAGCTGCAAAACTGTTATTTTTAAATGTCTGACTTTAGAGAAGAGGTCGTGAATGCACTTGCCTTGCTGATATTTTCCTCAACTTAGAGAGTCTTATATTATTGATCTTTTTAATTCAGGAACTGTATTTGCGTATGGGCAAACAAGTAGTGGTAAGACATTTACCATGAATGGTTCTGAGAATGATGCAGGAATCACTCAACGTTCAGTGAATGATATATTTACCAAAATTCATATGGTATAAATTCCTTCTCTATGATGTTTTTCACTATTTTTATGGTTAGTATCTATTAGTCTGAGTCTAAGTAGCTTTACCTTTATGTTCTCAGACAACTGATAGGGAATTTCTGATCCGAGTCTCATACTTGGAAATTTACAATGAAGAAATTAATGATCTTTTTGCTGTTGAGAACCAGAAATTGCCCATCCACGAAAGTTTAGAGGTAAAGTTACAAAAAAAACTAGTATAAGTTCAAAGTTATTTGGGTGTGATTAACATCAATTTCTATTTCTATAGCGTGGTGTATTTGTAGCTGGACTGAGGGAGGAAATTGTGAATACAGCTGAACAAGTACTTCAGCTCATCCAACTTGGAGAAGGTTTGACCTTGAAAAGAGTATTTATAATGCTTTTCCAAATTCCAATGATTGGCTCCACAGTTTGTGTTCTAAACCCTAACTTCTTGAAATGATGGTGGTGCAGCCAATAGGCACTTTGGGGAGACTAACATGAATGTCCGAAGTAGCAGATCTCACACCATCTTTCGGATGGTAAGTTTTTTCATTTTTGTGGGAATGCTGTATTCTGAAGCTGTTATTTGATTTTTATATCTGCATATGCATTTCTTTCTTTTATATTCTGAAGCAGTTATTTCACTTTTATGCACTTCTAAAACATTTAGTTCCTTTTACTTTTTCTGTTTCCATAATTAGGTAATTGAAAGCAAGGGAAAAGATAGTTCAGATGATGCTATTCGTGTGTCTGTTTTGGTATGGTATTCCTCCTCACGACCTTGGCCTGAGATTATGAGATTTCTTAAATGTTCAAAATATAAGTCTATTTGGATTTCATTCTCCTAAGAGTTTTTCAAGATTACAACTAGTTTCCATGAAAGATTAAATCAATCTACACCCTAAATGTTTTTTTATGATGATAAAATAATGATTAAGAGATCAAGACAGACCATGGAGTTCTATCTTTGTCTTACTTTATTTCCTCATTTCATTGACTATACAATCTAAATTTTCTTTCCTTTTGCTTTGTGTTTCTGTTGGGAAACAGAACTTAGTTGACTTAGCTGGCTCTGAAAGGATTGCCAAAACTGGAGCTGGAGGAGTTCGTCTTAAGGAAGGAAAGCACATTAACAAAAGTTTAATGATTCTTGGCAATGTCATTAACAAATTAAGTGAAGGTGCTAAGCAAAGGTACTTGTTCCTTTATAATTGTTGTTTTATCTATAGATATGAGTATATGACTGTGTCCTGACTCCTCAACTAATGTACTATTTATTCAGGGGACATATTCCTTATCGTGATAGCAAGCTTACACGCATACTTCAACCTGCACTTGGTGGTAATGCCAAAACTTCTATAATTTGCACTGTAGCACCAGAAGAGGTACCCAATTTTTTGTATGCCAGTCCTGCATTTTAAATTATATGTTGATACTAATATTGAAATTTTATGCTGCTAATATCACTAGGATCATGTAGAAGAAACAAGGGGAACACTTCATTTTGCTAGCAGGGCTAAACGTATCACCAACTGTGTTCAAGTGAATGAGGTGGGGAGTCTTTGCTATTTCCTTCAGAATGAACTTGGAATCATTTACTGTGTTTCAAGAATCAAGGAGTAGTTTTTTTTCTTGACATGAGTTGTTTGCATATGATATGACTATGGGGTGTGGGTGGGTATAGCTGATTTCTTGCTTCTCATTAATTGGAGATAGAGTTGATTGTAATTCTATTTTTGTAATAGATATTGACAGATGCGGCATTATTGAAGAGACAAAAACTTGAAATAGAAGTATTACGTCAGAAACTTCAGGTGAAAATAATGTTGACCTGAACTTATAGCCAAAAATATATAGCCAGATAAATTGGAAGTAACACCTGGTTTACAGGGATCCCACTCTGGAGTGCTTGAACAGGAGATTCTGAAACTGAGAAATGATTTGTTGAAGGTAATTGCGGAGTATTTTTTTCTCTTCAGACTAATCAAGAGCATTTAGTCTTTTGTATTAAGATGATTACTCATTTTTCATTTATCAGTATGAACTAGAGCATGAGAAGCTTGCTATGGAGTTGGAGGAGGAAAGAAGATCCCAGAAGGAGCGTGAACAATGCATTATGGAGCAGCAGAGGAAAATTGATGAGCTCTACAATCTTCCCACTTTATCAGATTCTAATGGCCTTGTTGTTCAGGTAGCTGTCCTAATTGGGATAATCTAATCTTTTCTTGCATCTCTTTTCCCCTTGCTCAAGTAGATTATATGCCGTGATTTTGATATGGTGAATTGAAGGTTAATTTCAATTCCTGGACTCAGGATTTTGCTAAACAATGTCTTAAGGAGGAAAGCAAAGCTTGCAGCAGCACAGGCCAGGATGATAATTTTAGTACACCATGTTTTAAAGCGGCTCCTGCTGCCTTCGTTGCTAAGCGATCAAATTACTCACGGCAGCCTGAGTACAGTCCTCTTCCTGATGCATTTAGTGATTTTGCTGATGAAGATGCATGGGCAAAAATGAATAAAGGCTTTGTAGCTGATCTTGATGCACTCCACATGACTCCTGCCATGAAAAGCTCAGTTTCAGCTAACTGTGTACCCACAGTGAGTCTCATTTTCATATTGGTTACAGGCTTACAGCAGTCTAACATTCTTATCTAATACATTAATGAATGACATTTATACATTTATGCTGATTTTTACTTTACCAGGATCCATCCATATCAGATTACAAACAAGAGGTAGAAAATCTTAAGAGCCAATTGAAGCAAGTATTAAAGGAAAGAGATGAACTCAAGGTTACTCTCATATTAGCACACATAAGTTTGGGGTCTAGATAAGTTTACTTTACTCTATGGTTTTTGGCTTATGTTTTGCTCATTAATTTTCAGACAAATTATGTGAAACAAACATCACTCAATGAAGAGTTAATGAGAGAGATTTCTGAACTTCAGCAAGAGGCTTCTCTAGTTCGAGAAATCCCTGAAAGACTCTCTGAATCTGTTGAAAATTGCAAAGATATTTTCAAGGATGTCATGTCAATATTAAAGGTAATGTCTGTTTAACATATCACTAGCTTTATTGGGTCTTAGCGCTGGTAAAGTTTATTGACATTGTATCCACTATCTTAATGGTCTGTGGAACAGAACTATGTAGATAATGAGAAGTCGGCAACAGCCAAATTACTATCTGCCACAAGTGAGATTGGCGTCTGCCTTTTCTCAACTTTGGAATCTCATTTTTCATTGGCTATGGATGGAGATGTGTCTTCGAATAGGAAGCATTTTTCATTTGAAGAGCAGCGCAAGAAGCTTTATGAGAGGGTGAATAGTACAATATCATCACTTGTGCTGCCTGATGAGTCAATTCCCAGCCAACTTTCAGAAAATGAATCATACAGCAGCAAACATAAGGTAGCTGCCTGGTCACTACAGATAACAAGATGTCACACGTTCATTTTTATACTCTTCTCCATTCTGACCCTGGGATACTATCTCTCTTCTTTGAGGCTCATGATATTTTAAGGTACTAGTGTCTACACATGTTAATCCCTGTGATTCTTGTGAGCAACAAATGCATGGTAGAACACTAGAATCTAGACACACCGATTGTGAGTTGTTTTCTGTCAATTCAGGCATATTAGTAGTGTCACAACTCACAAGAATCACCTTAGCTTAACTGTCTGGAAAGTTGGTACTTTTATCACGTTCCTTTTAACCATCCGTTGCTTAATTTGATCCCAGGGGCCTACTCTTGGGGAAGAAATTGCTCATTGGAAGAGGAAACTCGAGGAAGAAGCTGTAACAATCAAGGACAAATGCTGCAGCCTGGAAAAAGAGCTGGAGTCAAGCAATCAACTTCTCGCGGCTTCCAGGGAAAGATATCAGAACTTAGATAAGCAGTTCTGTGCTCTGAAAGAAGAGCGAGATATGTTAATCCAGAAAGCCACGGACTCATCTCAAAAGATTGCTCGCCTTACAGACCAACGAGAAAAGTTCCTGCAGAATTACAGCGTGGAAGAGCAGAGGAGGAAAGATGTTGAAGAATACATAAAAGACTTCAGCCTTGCATTTGCACGCAGACAGAAAACACTCATGTCCCTTAACTGCGATTTCAGATCCATGATAGACAACTTGAAGGCTCAGAATCCAATTCCAGTATCCAGAACTCCTGGATTATAAGTGTTTCTGCGATTTCTCACCAAAATCCCCTAGTATTCAGAGTGGTTGTTGTTTAATCTAGTTAAGTTAAAATGGTTTATCACACTGCAGATTCTTGCATTCATGTTGTTTTAGTGTATCATACAAACAATTGCAAGAGATGATTTGGTGTAAAGTCATCTCAATTTCTGTTTATCCACTCTTTTCTTTTTTAATACATGATCTAGTTATTTAATAGTTACGTTAAGTTTTTAATTCAAAGTTAAATTTTTATTCAACTCGCAAACTTAAAAGGAAGAAGTGGGGTTATGAGGTTATCCAGGCTGAAAGAAATGCAGACATTAACTGCTCCATTGAGTGGTGTGCTGTGGGACCATTACTTGATGACATTTCTATCTGCTCAGACAATGGTTTTTAATGAATTCAATTTTTACATCAAATTAAAAACAACAATAATAATAATAAAAGGTGTCGGTAACCTCAAACTGAGAAAGATAGCATGATTGCGCAAAATGTCAAATTTATGCACTTTCCGTAAATAAATCTGAGGGCGGATAAGGTTAATGGGAGGAAGAAAAAGGGATTTTGAAGATGGGTCATCTCCTAAAAAAAAGTTTACTTTTTTTTCTCTCACAAATAACTAGTTGATTTTCATATAGAAAACTACACTCAATAAAGTAAGATTAAAATTGCCCCTCAATAACGTAAGATCAAATCTTGACAATTGTAAATTCTCTTATAAGGTAGCTTATTGTAAAAATTAAACATTGATTTTTTTACTTAAAGGTTGCTAACTCATTAAGTCACTTCGATTTAGATAGGTCTTCTCTAATCTTCTTCCAAAAGATTGAATCCCCAATTCTAAGGGGTCCTACACCTCGGTCCGACAGAACATTTGGAAGAATATAAATGACAGTGATTCAATGACTCAATAGACAAAACCAAATACTGATTTACACAAGACTTTAGGCATAACTCTCACATTGCCACTGTCAAAGTTCAAACATTGATTTCTTCTTTCAAATATTGCCTACTAAACACCCTCTTCTCTAATCTTTATACGGTGGGATGTGGGGCAAAGTAGTTTTGCGTTTTGCATCCAAAGTTCACTTTTTTTTGGGATAGATGGATTACAGCTATTGGGTTGATTAAAAGGAAACATTGGGATGTTATCAAGTGTCTTAATCTTTGATTATCCATTTTTAAAAAAAAATGGATATCCAGAAAACCTTGAGTCGATATCACAACGTACTTCCAAAAATAATAAAATGGAGGCCACACTAATCACATCATTAGCTGTAAATCTCATTTAAAATAATAATAAAAATTTTATTACTAAGATCACAAGTTAGATTCTTATTAACAATATCTCAGCTAAATTCACAATTTAATACAGAGTAATTATTAAACAGAAACGGAGTTTAACTGAAATATATGAGGTAGGTTTCCTCATCACCTAAAAGTGATATATTTATGATGAGTACAATTTATTAGTTGATATGGTAGAACGTGGTGCATTAATTAAAGGGGATAGAATGAAGGATAAGAGAAGATGAAAAGGAAGGGTGAAGGTGATGCACATGCGGCATGCATGCAAAGAACAAACATTGCCAATCAGTTTATTGATGCATGAATGCAACCTTTAACAACTTATTCAATTTTAATGCATAAAAATATGTTTTCATTTTTCTTTTGGAGATAGAGATAATTCAAATTCATGAGTCTATATATACATAGAGAAATGATTTATTAGTATTATTATTATTTAAAGTTTCCCATGCAGAACTAAGCATTCAATTTGCCTTGGTGCCAATGTATAAGGATGGCCTATCTTCTGAGCTTGCCCAATACAGACTTTTGGGACCATAAATAATCCTTTTCTTGTCTCTTTTATGTGGCTTTTTTTTCTTTAGTATTTGATTTTACCTATATACTTTCTTTATAAAAAATAAAAAATAAATAAATAAATAAACACTTTATATTACATGGAAACAGGGCCGGTTTTTAGATTTTTGTGGCCCTGTTCGAGTAAATAAATATGGCCTTACCAAAATTAAAATCTTTAAAATTAATACCGTAATTTTATTATCAAAATATATAAAACAAAAAAATTATCCGTGCATCGCACGCACACTGCACGGACAATTGGGCAATTATTTGCTCGAATTCATGCAAGGATAACATAAAAAAATATAATCGATACAACCCATTTCATTAATTGCCCAAATAATTGCCCAATTATCCGTGTAGTGTGTGTGCAATGTTATATGAATATTCTTACAAAATAGTTAACAATAATAATTATTCTTCGTAACAAAAATATTCTTACAAATTTGTTCTATCCTAATCTATTACAAAACGCCAAATAAATAACATATATCCTAATACCGGGATACTAAAGAATAAAAATACCCATTCATTCAGTGCACATATTATTTTAGGAACCATGGGCACCAAAGCCTGAGTAGCAAATAAACTACCAATATATTAAATACTACCTCCTAATCTTGCCAACTCCAAAAGGTATGTGCGAGAAGTCCAACCATAAGGACCTCCTACTATGGCAAGAGACGCAATGCTAAGTGCAAGAAGAACAAGAACGACTATATTGAATGGTTGCTTCAATATGCCGTTCTCAGCATTACCGACTCGTTTCAAAATTATTATCAGACCCAGCTGCAATGCACAAAATTATATATATATATATATATATATATATATATATATATATATATATATATATATATATATATATATATATATATATATATATAGCGAGACATTCTAAAATTAATTCAATATAAAGTAATATCAAATAATATTTAAAATAGGAAAATACCTGACAAAGTGACAAAGTCAGGCAAGATAGCATATCATTCTTCTTCTTCCAAAACGAGGGATGAAATAAAAAACAGAACTTAAAGTAAAAAAGAGTGCAAGTACCGTAATATGCCGTAAAAATAGTGGATGGCCAGAACTGAAGTAAATCTGTAAATGAGTCACTTAATCAGGTTAGGTTACAGTTTTTTTTTTTAATCAGCTTAGGTTACAGTTTAACATATCAATGATTGATATAATGAAATTATTGTTGGAGACTAGTGCATTCAAAAATTACTGTTAGATGGGTCATATAATTATACTATTGTTGATCATCAAAAAATATTTTTTAATTTACAAGAAAGTCTATAATTGTTATCGGTATGTGTACTCTAGGTGAAATTGGCATTGTCATCCGTAGCTTGCAAAGAACCACAAAGAGAGATAAACATGCATGCTCGACTCATCAATCAACTGTCTGACCAACTTGGCTGGTTGTTCCAAATTAAAAGATATATACTTTGTGAAGTAGATAAATGATGAGGGTTCTCTTAAGCCTTAACATGGAACAATTGATTGTACAAGAGATATAAAATAGCATTAGTTTAGATTATAATTTAAAAAAAAAAAAAAAAAAAATTACATTGTTTTTAGTATTTTGATTGTATGATTTGAAGGCAATACTTCTGACTTTTTGTGAGGAAAACGCATGTATGTCCAGTCACCTTTCTTGAGTGATAGTTTGTCTACCCCAATTAATGCACCCCAGAGAAGCCTTTCTTCTTGTCCTCATTCATCAACACCTCCACCATCAAGAACCCTTTCATTCTCAGCTATCTTCAATTCAAAGCTCAAATGGCTTCTCCAATATCCAAACAGCTAGGAGATTTCCTCCAAGAACAGCAAGAGCCTTTCACAATGGAGGAGTACCTTCATGACAGAGGCTACCCCAGAAGCAATAATTCTGCCCAGTTCTTCAAAGGATCAACAAGCTCTGCTACAAAAAAGAGAAGAAGATCACTACTCCCAAGCTGTTCAAAGCTTGTGGGGGCTGTGTTTACCAGGATTGTCCAATCTGAGGCCAATCGGAAATTCAAGAATTGTTGGAGTAATAGAAATAATGGCCGTGTTGGTAAGCAGGATTTAGCTGAGGATGATCATTTATCATCTGCAAGTAGCTCTACTGTGTTCAATTCTTGCTCGGAGATTGATGCAGAAGAAGATGATGAAGGCTGCAAAGTACGTGAAAAACAGGTAAAATTTTCAGTCTCAAGAACACAACAATATAATGTTGTCAAACTTGGTTAAGGAGAATTGAACCAAGTTAAGTAGTGTCTAAATATTGGGTTGTTATCAATTCAGATTGGTTGTTCATAAAGCTAACAGGTTCTTGAAGACAGAAAGCAGCTCAGCCCTGTCTCAGTACTGGAAGAAACAGAATCCTCAGATGATGATGTCTCCCCGATTCATCAAAGTAATAAAGATTTCATCTTTTCATTCCCCCCATTTTAACTTTCTTTTCTTATCCAGAAAGAGTCAAAAAAAAAACTCATACAATTCTTGATGTCTTTCCTTATACATACAGTACAAGAAACCTCAGACTCTCAAACAACATTAGTGGGAAGGAGTGTCGCTTGTCAGTACGCTAGAAACAGAAAGGCCACACAACAAACAAAACAGCTGCTGTTTGACTGTGTGAGTGAGGTGGTTGAGAGCCACAGAAGAAGAGACCAGAGGGGCCAACAGATGGGGAGAATCTTGGATCCTGAGCAACTGTGGAAGCTGATATGTGAGAATATATGGGAGTGGAGCCAAGACCCCATTGATGAAACCAATGTCAACCAACTGGTTCATTTCGAGTTCTTGGATTTTGAGGGAGAATGGAGGGGGTTTCAGCAGTCACAGGAAATTGGGGTGATTATTACTGAGATTATGTTGGAGGATATTAGAGATGAGATTGTTAGAGATATGGTTATTTCTTTTAATTATAAATAAACTGAGTAATATACAAACAACATGTCAAGTTCTAATTATCTCTATTTTCATACTTTTAATTTTCTATGTTCTACTCTGGCATGCATGATTCATTATAGTTATGTGTAGTCAACCCAAGGCATCATAGGTATAATGTCCAGAGCCAGAGGAATTTAGCCCCATAGATAAGTAGAGAAAGAAGGACAAGAAAGGAGTTGATTTTTCACTCCATTTAACTAAAGATTTGTTGTCAAACACTTTGTGCTCAGATGGCATATAATAACCTCTTCCATGTGGGGGGTCAGTGGAGGCATGTTGAGAAAATATGTTTGAATAGATACTATAATGTAATAAAGTCAGTAGCATTTAAAAAAAAAACAAAAAAAAACTAAAGATTAGTCTTTTGTTCTATATCTAAATAGAAAAAACAATTCTTTCTCACTAGTTGGAGAATAAAAGGTTTATATCCCATTTCCCATAAGCCCCTTAAGCCACCCCTTTTAACCCCGAGCAAAGGGTTAAGACTTAGGACCCTACACAAGTATGGACTCGCCAGTCACATGTTGGCTAGACCCAATGCCATTCATTTTATCAACTACCATTGTTTATAGAGCAAATATCAATTTTAGTCCCACAAATATTAACAAAATGAAAGTTTTGATCTAGACTATTATTTTAGTGGCAAAATTCATCACACCAGTCACCCCTTCGTTTAAGACATGACAAAATATAAAAATATTAAGAGTATTTTTATCATTTTCAATTAAGATCTCAATTGAAGTATGAATAAAGAGATTTAAGCATTAAGATCGATCTCAATTTGCAATTCCCCTCCTCCGACTAAAGTAGGATGAAGAGGAAAACTGCGAACTGGAATCGATCTTAAGGCTTTTACATTCAAGTTTTCCATCTAACTTTTACTCTCTTTCTCAAGTATATAAAGTTTGGTACGAGTAAAGAAAGCACTAAATCTGTTTGCATTGGCAGAATGGGGAATTGAATGAGGTGATAATGATGTTTCAACTGCCAATGGAAGATGCCAAATCCTACAAAGATACACATGCCCATCATATAAAACATGTCCCCAACTGCACGTGGTAACAGCCCAACCCTATGCCAAACTTCGCTCATACTATAACCATTTCCATTTGTACCAATAAGGTAAACAATCTACATTTTTGTGTATAGTAACAGCTCATCTTTTTCATGATGAAAATAGCATTTGCAGCGGCAATCTACACCAGTGTATAACAAAACACTACTCGGTACCGACACAGGTTACATCATAGTGTTGTTAGATGCGACTAAAAAATCATAGACAAAATCTTGCAGTAAAATAGTGTACTAGGCTATGAAGAGTTCTAGTAAGAAAGCACTAATGCACAAAACAAAAAGCACTACTGAATTTCACCATCCTCACCGAGTTCACCATCTTCCAGCTCTTCGTATCCACCACTACGACGAGATGCATCGCGTTCTTTTTTGTGTCTCTTGCGTCGACTTTCACCGTCTGATTCAGGTGAATGTGCATGCTGCAAGCAGGAAAACATAACCAAGAATCAAGACAATGCACTAATGCCACCAATAATGGGGGTTAATAAAAAGGTGTAATACTCCGTGTGTGCTCTTGAGCCCATAGGATAAAATAACATTGGGGCCTATATGAGCAACATGAGAACCCTTTTTAGAACTTCTACAGTCAAAATTGGTTTAACCTTTTATTGTATGAGTCTCTACACCAATCTCACATAGTGGTCAAGTCCTCATCTCTCACAGATCTGCAGACAACTTTGCACATTACCTGGTGGTGGGGGTATAGATTGGAATCGAAGGAAAACCATTTACATTAAAGGGAAAATTACATTTTTGGTCCTTTAGTTATACCCGTGGTACAACCTTAATCCTTGAGTTATATGTGTGACCATCAACCCCTAAGTTATGCATGAAGTGGCGGGGACTATTTCTACCACCAATTTGTCACTTAATAAAGTGGCTGATTTGGTCCTTCAAAGACTAAAATCGCTACTCAATGCATAACTTAGGGATTAAAGATGTTCACGCATATAAATCAGGGACTAAGTCTGTACCACGAGTATAACTGGACCAAAAATGCAATTTTCCATACATTAAATGGTTAACCATTTTGACCTCTTGACTTCCACTCAGGGTCCAACTTGTGTTGCATGTACAAACCTCAAAGTTAGATAACACAGCTGGGATATGTGTGGGTCTGAGGTGTTTTAAAATATTAATTAATTTATTAATTACCTTCTTTGACTTCTTCCGTTCACCACTATGTCGACGGGACTTCTTAGTTTCCTCTTTCTCATCCTTATCAGAAGTCACATCATCAGTAGAGCTATGATGCCGTTTCCGATGTTTCCTATCTTTGTCCTTATCCCTCTTTTTATCTTCTTTGTGTTCATATTCAACGAAATCTACACTCTCACTATCAGCATCATCCTTTCTCGAACGTTCTTTTCCCTTCTCCTTTTCTCTCTCACGCTGCTCTTCCTTCTCCTTGTCCTTCTCTTTTCTCTCTTTATCTTTTCTCTTTTCTTTCTCCTCTTTTTCCTTATCCTTTTTAGCCTGCAATCGTTGAAGACAAAGCAAAAAAGTAAATATATTGATAACTTATTATAACTAAAAATCAGCAACAGCTACATATATGCTCATAAAAATTGAGAAATGTGATATTTTTTTCCAACTTTCAATCTCTAGTTTGCAAGAAACCATCTTACTTTGTCAGCTCATTCTAAGCCGCAGGGCCAGAAATGGGTGTGGTATTTCAAAAGAGTGATTTGTATTTCCTCATTCTTTTCAATTGATTCCAAATTGTACCCTGATTTTTTAGACTTTTCATTCTAAAAAACTTGGCAAGTGTCAACGTGACATTGAAAAAGTTTTAAAATATAAAAAGCTTGATTACTATCAGATATAAACTATGGAGTATTACCTTTTCCTCCTCTCGTCTGCGTTCCTTTTCTTTTGCCTTCTCCTGCAAGCGAGTAACATATTCCTCAAAGATTTCCCTCAAGGTTGTCTCTTCTCCAATAGCTCTAGTTAAAAGTGCAAGCGGGAGGAAATAAGACCCAAACAATGAAAACATTAGAATAACAACCAGAGATGTTAGCATGAAATATGTAAGCAAATATAAAAAGCAATTACTTGTATTCTGAGCTATCCTCCACAAGCTCTTTGCATTCCTCCCAACTAGAAGCAGCAGTTATTTCCTAAAGGTAGAAAACGAAAATATTCAGATGTAGATAACAATTAATTTGAGGCAAAATGATGTCATTAAAAGTAGATCTTGCACACATCAGCATTGCTCAGCATCTCAACAAAATCTTTTGCAAGCCGTTGACGCTTTTTAGCTTCTTTCTCCTCCTTATCCTTGGCTCTCTCCATGAGGTCCTCAAAAATGAGCTGCAAACAGAAGGAGAAACCAAATTAAGCACAACATTGAAGAGTGAACTGGACATAAACAGCAACACTTATGAAATGTTTGTGTGTACAAGGTGCCATCATCTTATAAACAGCAACAATCAAATCTTCATTCACTATGAAATGTTTCTCATGAAGAGAGAAAATGTTAAAGACAACTTTTGTCCTTGTACCCAAAGTTCAGGATGACTATTATACAACGAAAAGGATGTAGAATTTAAAATGTCATAGAAACTCAAGCCACACAAGTTAACAAAGTAACAATGTACGTGGCGAGGGGGTGGGGGGGTGGGGGGGGGGGGGAATAAATCGAAATAATTATGTCTGTGTGTGTACAAGGTACCATCATCAAGCTTTCAACTGAGGTAAGATGAATAGGAAAACTGAGAATCTTTTGTTGCTTATAACAAGAAGATATATATGCAGCCAAGAATTCATACCTGCAAATTAACCTCAGAAATGGATGGGGTACCAATGGTTTCCAGAATAGCAGCTTTAAAGTCCTCAAATGACCATAATGGTGAGAATGTTATCTGAATGAGTACACATGCCAAATAAGGATTATGCAAACAATATATCCAAGCAAGATGGTGGAATAAAAAAGGGAACGGTACTGAAAACCATACCTTTTCTGACTTCAAGACATTTTTAACACGTGTTTTGTCTTCATGATACTATTCAAAGTACAAATTCAAAGGAAAAACGAGTTAGTACAAGCTGTGGGATTTTTCATTTTGGCAGAAATACAAACCATATCCAGTTCCTATTGGCTTGTTGGAGACTAAGCAAGACCAAAGATGAAGTTTGTTGCAAAGTAACAGTATAATAATATCATGTATGTCAGTATTTGTCAGGAAGGATTATAGCCAAATTTGTATAGAAGTCTCCAAACTATAACATTCGTTTTATATTAAAAAATAACGTGTCACATAACTCTAACATGACTTCAGCATTGAATTTTTTTATGTGACTAACTTCTCTCACCAATCCACAAGACCCTCCTCAATCTTATACATCACCTTAAAAGCATACATAAAAGCCAACCCAGAAATCATAAAGTAATCACAATAAATGAAACTAGCATGAATAACCACTTAACCGGTTGTTTACAGATCAAACATCAAGGATTTGGAACAGTGAAACATTTCTACCTGATTTTCCAACTCTTCCACAACATCTTCAAACAAATCCTTTGGTGTAGAACCTGAAGTGTTGGATGCAACAGCCTGATAAGCCACGGACTCCTTCACCTATCATTCCCAGCAACAAGAGGAAAGAAACATAAAAAGGATGAGCCAAAGCTGAAATAATATCATTCGCATATATGGTGGCCAACCCCCTTCCAAAATAACGAGAAAGGAGGAAAAAAAAAAAAAAAAAAAAAAAAAAAAAAAAAAAAAAAAAAGATGAAGAAGAGAGTGAAATAGTGCAATACCATTGGACAATAGTCACGCCATAGTGTTTTAGCAGTGACTGTGCCAGCAGCAATATGGTCTTCCATCATATTACGAAAAGCATCACGGTTCTTGCGCTCAGCACGTCTCAATTGTTCCTAAAGTTAATCCAAATGCAATTAAAATCTTCAATCATCAATCTTAATGTAATACAGTACATAGAAATCATTTTTAAAAAACACCTTTTGTGTTTTCCGTTGCTCTTCCTCTTCCTTCTCCAAGTCACGAATATATTCCTGTCATAATGGCATATCAGTATTCTATTTCTAGACACCAATGTGTTAAAATGAATAGTGTACCTGGAAAACCTCCAAGCGATCAATTTTTTCAAGGCGCGAGCATCTTTCATCATCTTCCAAGAGATCTTGAACTTTCCGCCACTGTGTGTCCACCTGAGGCCCCACCCCAAAAAATGAACTAGTCAGGAAAGTACAAAAGGGGGCAAAGGAAATCAAATCGAATTGTCATTCAACCATCCCACTCCCACCCCCACCCGAATCCAAAAACATCAGGAGTTAATAAAGATACCTTGATAAATCCACATGTTTCTAAGAATTGTCTATACTCTACTCTGTTCCTTCGGTAGTCCTCTTGAGCTTTTGCCTTTTCCTGGATACACAAGTACACAAGGACTAAGTCACATTTGGAAAATATTGTGTGATCCCTTCCAGTTGCAGGATATAGCATTATAATCTATCTGAAGTAATCATCAGCAATTTAATTCAAAGTACAGATGCAAAAGCGCACAAACAATACAAGTAGATAACCTGACATTAGGCTTTTCACTTATAGGTATTTTGCACTTATCTTACTCAAAGCATAGGCCTTCTTCATTCTGTAAAGATACCGACTGGTATTTGGCTAATGCAAAAATTACTCACTAAGAATACATAACTTTCACACTCAACATCTTCTGCTAACCTTTTTCTGAAGATCCACTAAATAGTTTCTGAAGAGATCTTCACGATCTGCCTCTCTTTCAACAGCCTTGAACCGTTCATCATCTTCAAAAATTGTTACTGCCTTGCTAGATTATCAAACAAGATACCCCATAAGAATTTTATAAGACTATTTTACAAAGGCGTATCTGAAGTCTGAACAACTAAATATATGAAGAGCAAGTACAGCAAAACATGGGTATTAAATAAAAATGTCCCTACCTCCATCTTGTTGATGATGTAAGTTCCTTGGACTCCTGAAGGGAAAATTAAAAATTAACAGTGACAAAAGAAGTCAGGAGTTGATCCATTTCATTCAAAAGATGCTAATTATTTGAACCAAGAACAGCACAACTAATCATAAAACCATTGTAACAGCATGGACACTACTAAGTGTGGCTTGGTGCAGCATACTCTAATTCAATACTGTTTACTATAGGCTGGAAACAAGGGCAATTATCATAAAGAAAATGTAGTATGTTTTACTACATTAAATAACCTATTAGAATGTAAAATATATTGAAAATGCATCCACAAGGCTACTCTAAGACTACAGCTTCAATAAACCAAGAGGCAAGAATAACTTATTGAAAACAGTAAAAAGAAATGAATTATCTAAATGTTGCTTAAAATACATGAACACTACAAAGCTTACTTCCAACATCTTCGTGAATTCCTCCTTGGCTTTTCTCTGTCTGAGGCGCCTCTCCTCAGCCTCCAGTTTCTTCCTTTGCATCAAGTACTTTTGTAAACCACAAAATATGTCAACAATCAGACACAAGTTTGAGGTATTATTATATTAATTAATTAATAATTAATGTACCATAATTATAAACTGTACCCAAGAAATCACTTAAAAAGGGCAATTAATAGATCAAAAAAACAATATTCAATCCTTCTTGGGGAGAAAGTTTACGAAAATGTTCTATACCTCATTGAATGCCTGCTTCCTCTCACCATGAATTTTCAGTGCTCCATACCGTTTGTCATTGGCTATTGCTCGCACTGTCTAGAATGGCAGAAAACGAAGAGATTATCAAGTACAGTCAGATTTAGTATGCAGGCATCTAGTTGGCTAGGAGCATATTAAAGAGAGCACATCATTTAACTAACCTGATCCCAAGTCCAGTCAGATCCCACATTGGCTGATTCTAATAGAGCTTTAAAAGCATTTTTGGCCTCCTAAAGTCAACAAAAGCAATCAGTTTATAAAGAACTCACACAATTAAATACAGAAGATTCTAAATATATACCTGCTTGGTGGCATAGACCAAAGGTTCTTCATCTGCTGCTTTCTCCTCTGAAACAGTAACATGAATGTTTGTAGCAGTACTTTTCTTCATCTGATGTAAGACACATTTTTAAAAAAAAAAATCAATAAACAATGTTATTCTACCTAAACAACAAGTTGGAGAAAAAGATGGGTGTGTCAGAGAGTACTGTTCATGCTGAAAGCAAAATAATTGGTTGAAGAAACAATGTGCTCAGGAAAACAATTTAATAAAAGAGGTGGGAAGAATGTACAGTAATAAAAAAAATAAAAAATAAAAGTGGGTGGCATAACTCATAGGGCAAGTACATGTTGGCAGATAGAATTACATCCAGCTGAAACAATCATTTTGGCACTCATGGACATATAGAGCTGAACTAGTGGCATATCAACAATGACTCGGAAAGGTTAACATACCTCAATATCCTGTATGGAAGATACACCTGAGGAAGCAACAACTTGAGGAGACGAATTCTCCACGCCATTCCTGATATACACACATCCATCAAAATAAGTTACAGGCATACACCAAGCACATTCAGATAACCTAACCAACAGAAAGCGTCCATACATAGGTGCCTGGTTGGAGCTAGCCAAATAAGCAGGATCTGCATTACTCCCCAGTGTAGCAGCAGGTGAAGAAACACTAATTGAGCTTGTTATAACAGGGTGCAAAGTAGCAGAATTTGCTGATGATCCAGAAACCACCGTAGATGGAGCATTAACAACAGAAACAGCGGGTGTAACTGGTGCAGAGCTTGAAGCTACTCCAGAAATTGTTGAAGGACTAGAGCTAACCGGGGTGACAGCAGTAAATTGTTGTTCAGTTGAGGTGCCAGCTGCACCAATTGCAACTTTAGATGTCAAGCCTGCATCACCCTGTGATCCTGGAGCAGCTGCTTTTTCAGCTTGTTCGCGGGCCAACTGATACGATTACTTCTAAAGTCAGTCCAAAAAAACAACAAACAAAACAAATAATGTTAATGCAATCAAATTTTTAAGTACCTTTAATTCCTCAGGTATTTCCCATTTTGACTCCTTCTTTTCTTTGTGATAGTAATATCTGAAAGTCACAAGCATAAATAGGGGGGCAAAATTAAAGGTCCATGTCTCAGAACCACCGGGTAAAAAAAAAGGGCGGGGGCGGGGGGGTGTGATCAATCCATAAGAAGTCTCCCACTGTAATAACTTACTTTCTGCCATTTTCAGTTGTGAATTCTTTCCAACCAGTTAATGCCTCTGCTCTCTGGAAAAGAAGCGCAGTGGATAAGTAAATACAAGACTGATCATCTAAGCAAACAATATTATAAATCCACCATATACCTCTTATATGAAAACTTAAATTATGATAGAGATACAAAAATAGTATTGCATACTTAAAAAAGTAAAATCTCATAAAAAAGAAAGTCACTACCTGAATGTTCACTAGCATTGGAACATTTATACTTGGATAAAAGTGACTTCACAAATTAAACAACGATTGAACCATCCGTACATGTATTGCTCAAGCAGGGTACAGAAAATGGTCATTATCAAGAGAAGTATATAAAATATATTACACCAAGCAATAACAGGTACCTAATCCAACTTAGCTAAGGAACCACCATTGTCAATCCCCTCCCCCCAAAAAAAAACTTTCAGCTGAGGGGATGGGACATTGGAAAAAAATTAGAATTAAGTTGTCAATTATGGCATAGAATGAAACAAATCATTGCCTGCCTTGAAGAGAAACTTCCTTCAAAGTGAGCATTGAGAGCAGTCGATATATTCCTGTGATTTTCCATGACAGCTACAAACCAGTAGAAGAACATGCAAACAAAGGGAGAACACATATAAAACCGCTTTGTGCAATTCAAATTTTGCTTACTGAATAGTCAAGATCCATAGGTAGCAATGCTAACAAAAACCCAAAGCAACCAAAAGCAATCTAGAAAAAGACTTTGTACTTAATTTCCGGAGTAGCAGAATGGAAGTTGGCTCACCTCTAGAGGTGTCATTAATTCCAAAGGCTTCTCCCAGCTAGACTGTTTTGTAATCTTGTTGTAGTAATACCTAATGTGCACAAATGTTGTGTTGGTTAGAAGAAATCCATCCACAATTTAGAATTCAAATGAACGAGTCAGATCATGCAGTTCCCTATCTTTGATAGGCTATAGAGAAACATATTTTTAGTTCCTTTGAAATAAAGAGGGTAAAACAAGTCTTAAAAACTTCATTATAAGGACTAACTAACCTTCTTCCTGAGACCTCATACTCTTGCCAATCAGATGTCGACTGCTCAGCACTATTCTGAGTATTAGCAGCCTAATCAGATCCCCAAGTGGTGGAAATTTGGAAATTGTGTTAGGGGGAAAAAACCATACAAGATATGCAAGGTGTAGGAGAAATTAAATCATTGCCAATAAAAATATTTTTTAGAGTCAGATCTAGAAATGATGATATAAATCACGGGATGAGAAAAAAGTGTGTAAGACCACAGGATCATACCGCAACTGCAGGAGCAAAGGCTGAGGGTTGCTGACTGGTATGCTGCATAGGTGCACTCTGATTTGCAGGTGGCACCCAGGGTTGTCCTCCAGCTGTGAATGCTGGTGTACTTATCTGGGATGACATGTTGATGCCACTGTTTGTCTGGCCAAAAGAAGATGCTGCAAACTGCAAGCATAAAAATGAAAAATGAGGAAGTTATAGTAGACAGGATACAATGAAGGGAAATTCAAGTGCTAAAAAATCAATAACATTGATAACAATGCTTAATCTGTAAGTCCAGTGGCACTCACACCAGGCATGTGATTATTCCCAGAAGGAATCATTTGTTGAGGCTGCATTGACGCAGATGGAATAGGCATATTTGGTTGCATCTGAATTGGCTGGGATGAAGGTATGTGACCAGGGCGTGGAGGAAAATGCTGCATTGGTTGAGAAAATTGCATTGCTTGACTTTGTCCAGGACCCATACCAATGTTTGGCATTTGTACAGGTGGAGCAAACGGCTGTCCTTGTTGTGCAGGTGCTCCAGGTTGAAACTGCAACAAAAAATTTGCTTGCTCATTAGTCTTAGAAAATAAAGCAGCAATAACATGCCAAACTCAAAAAGAAGTCAAGTAACATACTTGCATGGGAAACGAACCATAACCATGGGGCGCCATGGGTCCACCTGGATGTGGCCGAAGAGGCTATAAAAGGTTTTAACAAGAGAGAAAAAATTGAGATTCAGAATAGATGAACAGATACTATAATTCAAGAAGAGAAAAACATAACTATTGAATGTCTTTAATAATAAAAGAACCCAATGTCGAATGTGCCAATGATATAGAAATTCTTTACCTAACAACATAAATAACTAAAAACTGCAAAACTGTTCCCAAAAATCAAAGCATACAACATCTTTATACACATCATGCTCATCACCTTTAGTAAAAGGAAAATTAAGTTCACTTATAGTGCAGGCATTCACAGTGATCTAAACATAATACCTGTGCACCAGATGGCGGTGGATTAGTTGCCATGCCAGCACATACACAATACTTCAACTTCCCAACAAGGCAGCCTGAACTGTTATCAAAATCAAATATTTGCAAACAATCATATCACAGTATAATATCCATAAGTCTTTCAACATTTCTAACACGCCCAAATTATTCCACTTGGCTAAACAGTTTTTATTACAACTGATCTACAGACACCGGAGCTATAATTTACATCTTTTTCAATATAGCTTTCACCAAATTGAAGTGTGACTGAAATTAAGCGCTATCACGAAGTAAAGTAAAAAATTATCATAAGTAGAATCTGATCAAAAGTTCATGCTCAACACGAAATTAAAAATTAAAGATATCAAAACAATAATGGAATTAAAATGTATATCTATCAGACAAAAGAGAAAATTCTGCGGAAGTATCCTTGCGTGTGTCTGAGAGAGGAAGAAATGAACAAATACCTGAAGAAAGATCGCCCGCGAAGGTTTATACAGATTGGTTTCTAAAAGCGGTGTTTTCTGGGAGCAGGGGAGTTTGATAGATTTCAGAACGTGTAATGTGAAGTGTAAACCCTATCGGGCGAGTCGGGTCCGAGTCCGATACATACTATTATCTCCGACCCAATAGTCAGGCATTAGGCATTAACAAATTTGTAGTAAGCAAATCAAGTTACATGATCCCAAATTAACAATTCTTTATTTTGATTATGTTAGCAATATTCAAGTGTCTTGAGCAGTTGTCGATATTGATTTAACTGTTTATATATATATATAACAAATAACAAATCTATTTTATATATGTGTTATAAAAATGACAATAATTAATATGTGACATTGAATTTGGTTATGGTATTTTTTTTTTTGAAAACTTGTTATGATATTTAATTATAACGACTTATTATTATATTTTTGTTTACAATATAAAACAAACAAAATTTATAAACTATATTGAATATTTTTGGACTCGAAATCATAGAATAATTTGCCAAAGTCAATAACTCCTATTGGATAATTGGTTTAGACATTGGTGTCATATAACCAACTAACCACAAAGATCGGTTATTATACAGTGGATCGTGGTTGTCAAATGAAATTGTAATAGAATTAAAATGATAATTTAGTCTTGCTGAAATGAAACTAGTATTTGTGAATAATGAAATTAAAAACAGAGCGCATTCAACAACGTATATTGGCAAATGAAACTATAGTATAATTAAAATGATACTTTAATGTTGTTAAAATGAAACTAAAATCCATAACCATACATTAACATATATTGTCAAATGAATGTGGAGTGTAATTAAATTAATGCGGTAGCTATTATAATTAAACTAGTTTGTGTGGAAAATAAAATTACAAAATAGAACCCATACAATAATGTATATTGTCAAATGAAAATGCAGTAAAATTAAAATGATACTTTAATATTGCTATTATGAAACTAGTGAGTATAAAAATGAAACTGAAAAAACAAAGCAATATTATCTATCAAACGAAATTAAAGTGTAATCGGAATGATACTTACTTTATAGACTACACTATTACATGGACTATGGTCCATAGTAAAATTTGCCCCACAAAAGACCTTGGTATCAAACATTTGGGACAACTTATATTATGGGGCATGGTATGGTTCATATCATTGCAAGATGAACCATTAATGAATATTTATTTTAAATATACTATAAACATGGACGGAGCCAAAGGGGCAGCTGCCCCCTCACCTCACCCTCACCCCATATATAATAGTTGTATGTATGTATATATAGTATACGTTTTAGTATTAGTATTAAAAAAAAAAAAAGAAGATAAATGTTAATAAGAAGTGAAATAAATTAGTTGGCAGAGCATACATTTGGTTATAGTGAAAATCTAGAGTTCAAATCCTTTGTTGGCATTAACACAATTTTACAGTTTCTCTTGACTTCAACACAATCACATTGTTAATAGCTTTTTTTTTTTTAATATTTAATAAAATACACACACATATATATAACATTCCTTTATATTAAAAATGAGATGTGTAATTTATAATGTGTTATCTTTTTTTTTTTTGAAAGGTTATAATGTGTTATCTATTCAAATTATTTTATCAAATTAATTATGTTTTAATATTTTGTTACGAATATTTTTAATAAAATTTCAAGGTGTTTTATTTTTCGTCCATATCCAACAATATTTATACATATATTTCTTGGATAATTTATTATTATTTAAAAATTATCTAAAATGTTTCGCCTTCACTCGAAAAAATTGATGGATCCGTCCTTCCTTTTTCGCCCCCTCTCAACAAAATTCATGACTCCGTCTGGACTATAAATTTATTGTTAATTAATATAATATAAATTCATTTTCAAATAATATATTAATAATGAATTTGTGATACACTAAAATTAAATTTATATATCAATTATTTATTTTGTAATATGGATCATCATCATGAGTATAGTGATTAAACATTAAGCTTGGAATCATTAACAAACGGGCCTAATTGGTTGCAGACTTAGGAATTAGGGCTAGGGTTTCAAATAGCCTCGCATCCGCCACTCCCCATCTATAAAGTTCCCCATTAGGGGAGTCGTCTTGCCACACATCCTGTAAGTTTCGCTTCTCATCTAATCGACTGTTACCGTGCTTTGCTTCACTATCTGATTCCATTTTCAAGTTCTGTTCAATTCTCTATCATGTTTTGGTGCGATGATTATAAAACAATTCCTCGTTCTGAATGCTGTTGCCACGGCATGACAGACTCTTTACACCCATAGAATATGAGCACCATATCATTCATAAATTTTTAGTTGGTGAAGTTTCCATGTTCTTATTGAACCTTTAGTCATATAAGCTATGTTTGTGAATTTGATCTGACTTCCATGCTGCTTTGTTTCTGGTGTTATTTGTTTGAATTTGATTTGATAGGAGACTGGTCTCTTTTTTCTCACATGGCATTTCTTGTTGACTTGTGCCTGACCTCTCCTGAAATTCAACTAAGGTGGTGTTTAAAGCCCTAATTTGTCTTCAACAATGATTTCAAAAATTAGGGTTACGCACGCCTCCAAACTCAAGACACTACAAAAGTTAACTGAGGTTGTGAACTGTTTGATGTCTTCTTTTCAATGCTGCTTCATAGTGATTGCTGATTAACCGGTAGTGTGGCATTTCTAGAGTTTACAAGACACAAAAATGGGTTTGAGAACAAAAAGTTTTAATTTTCACTGATAATTATATCATTAACATAGAATGGGAATTTTTTAAATTCTTCTAGAAATGGATATCGGATGTACTGTATGATTTCAGCTAGTGAAGTTTTTTTCATGTTATTTTCAATCTAACTATCTGAGAGGTAAAGTTCTTTTGAGAACACGACCTATATAGCTATATATGCTTCATATGGTGTAGCAATTAGCCAAATAAGATTCTGTATTTTAGTTGTCTGTGACTGGTTAATTGATGTCCCAATGTGCTGATTTATCATCTTAAAAGAAGTTAAATTAAATTTCAGTCATTGTACTATTGGCGTGTTTTTTGTGGGTTACATATCCCTAGCCAGCCCAAGAAATGTGCAAATTCATCAGCCTATTTGCCTAACTCAATGGACCAATTGCTGGTTTATAAATTTGAAATCATGTAAAGTCTTTCATAAATCATGTAATATTTGGAAGGTTTCAAGTGAGATGAGCTCAAATGTTGGAATTTCCCAGTTGGACCAATTTGCTTTTGCTTGTGACCTGTTGATTATACAACAGGTAGGCTTGTTGATGGAAATCAGCCCCCTGCATCCAATCTAAGTGGTTTGTTCTAAGAAGCTCTGACAGTCCTAGAATTTCAAAGCAGCATTGTTTGTCCATCTACATATGTTGCATATTTTCTGATTTATTTGCTTGTTGTAGTCTGTTATGTATACAACTATTCTACTGTCAAAACAGGCAACATTAAATGGCTATGTTTATTTGTATATTCTTACAATGTTAGAGCTAGAATGTGCTTTGTTTCATAACGCTCTAAAGTATAAAGGTGTGTAGCCTCTGCAGTGTCAAAGCATTCTTGCTGCATAATTAGCATTCAACGCAATGCATGTAAACCTGTATTAGTCTTTTTGAATTCTAGTGGCTTTTAACGCAGTACTGTCGGGTGTTATTCGTTAATGGGCTGTTTGTTAGACATTAATTGTATTGTAATTCCACCACAATTCTCTGATCACCCCAATTACAGTGTTTGGTTGGAACACAATACTCTCCTTTTGTTGTATTGCAATTCAGAGGACATTTGGTTGGAAGGTGACATTATTACCCTTGGTTAGGGGAGTTGTATTGCAGCACATCCTGTAAGTTTTGCTTTCCTCTAATTGGGTGTTACCGTCCATTGCTTCAATATCTGATTCCATTTTCAAGTTCTGTTCAATTCTCTATAATGTTTTGGTGCAATGATTATAAAATAATTCCTTGTTCTGAATGCTGTTGCCACGGCATGACAGACTCTTTACACCCATAGAATATGAGCACCATAGCATTCATAAATTTTTCGTTGGTGAAGTTTCCATGTTCTTATTGAACCTTTAGTCATATAAGCTATGTTTGTGAATGTTGATCTGACTTCTATGCTGCTTTGTTTTTGGTGTTATGTGTTTGAATTTGATTTGATAGGAGAATGGTCTCTCTTTTTTCTCACATGGCATTTCTTGTTGACTTGTGCCTGACCTCTCCTGAAATTCAACTAAGGTGGTGTTTAAAGCCCTAATTTGTCTTCAACAATGATTTCAAAAATTAGGGTTACGCACGCCTCCAAACTCAAGACACTACAATTTCTTAAATTAGCGTGGCATTTCAAGAGTTTACAAGACACAAAAATGGGTTTGACGACAAAAAGTTTTAATTTCACTGATAATTATATCATTAAGACCATAGAATGGGAAATTTTAAAATTCTTTGAGAAAGGGATATTGGATGTACTGTCTATGATTAAGTTTTGTTCATGTTATTTTCAATATGACTATCTGAGAGTGATAAAGTTCTTTTGCGAAAATGACCTATCTGGCTATTCATGCTCCATATGGACATATGGTGTAGTAATTAGCCTATTAAGATTCTCCATTTTAGTTGTCTTTGAGACTGTGACTAGTTACTTGATGTACCAAAGTGCTGATTTATCATCTTAAAAGTAGTTAAATTAAATTTCAACCGTCTTACAATTGGTGTGTTTGTTGTGGGTTACATACCCCTAGCCAGCCCAAGAAATGTGCAAATCCATCAGCCTATTTGCATAGCATAACTCAATGGACTAATTGATGGTGTACAAATTTGAAGTCATGTAAAGTCTTTCATAAATCATGTAATATTTGGAAGATTTCGCATGAGATGAGCTCAAAGGTTGGAATTTGCCAGTTGTACCAATTTGCTTTTGCTTGTGGCCTGCTGATGATACAACAAGTAGGCCTATTGATTGAAATCAGCCCCTGCATCCAATCTAAGTGGTTTGTTCTAAGAAGCTCTGACAGTCCTAGGATTTCAAAGCAGCATTGTTTATCCATCTACATATGTTGCATATTTTCTGATTTATGAGTTTGTTGTAGTCTATTTTGTATGCAACTATTCTACTATCATAACAGGCAACATTAAATAGCTATGTTTATTTGTATATTCTTACGCTCTAAAGTATAAAGGTGTGTAGCCTCTGCAGTGTCAAAGCATTCTTGCTGCATAATTAGCATTCAACACAATGCATGTAAACCTGTATTAGTCTTTTTGAATTCTAGTGGCTGTTAACGCAGTACTGTCGGGTGTTATTCGTTAATGGGCTGTTTGTTAGACATGAATTGTATTGTAATTCCACCATAATTCTTTGACCACCCTAATTACAATATTTGGTTGGAAAACAATACCTCCTTTTGTTAAATTGCAATTCAGAGGGCGTTTGGTTGGAAGGTGTGAATAAAGTAGGAAATCAAATTATAATATGGAGTAGTAATTATTATACAAGTACATTTTAATATATGTACTTTTCTTCTTAAAATTACAGTAATTCTATTCTTATCTACCAAAAAATGTAATTTGAATTTTTTACTTTATATACACTTTTTTTTCCAATCAAATTACAATTTCTTTCTTCCCTAATTTTTTCTTCCGAACCAAACGCACTGTAAATTTTAGAAACAACTAAAGCTTCATGATATCTTAACCTTCTAGTTGTGGAGTTATTTCCTTGTACTACAATCCTATGATGCCTCCAAGAAATTCATGTAAACTTTAAAAAAGACATGTAAATATTCTCTAATGATGTTTCGTATTATGTATTTTCATTATTTATTGTAATTTGTAAATGGTTGCATCCTAGTTGGTTGTGGGTTTGATAACTACAAGTTTTAAGTTGACTATTAAGAGAGTTCTATATTTCTTAGTTTGAATTAGTTAGCTATAGGTTAGTCTCGTGACTATGACCTTCTTGATTTGAGGGTTGGTTAGGTTAATGATTAATCGATTATGACTCTAGGCTTCATCAAAGAAGTGTAATTTTATACTTGATTGTACTAAATTTTGTATGATTCTAAGCTTTATCAAATATATATATATAATTTTGTATTTGATTGTGTACCGAATTGATTATTCAAGGGTTTGGTTAATTACTTATTGTGTATATATATGTTATTCAAGTATCTACATCATGATTTTGTGGTTGTGTTTGATAGTAAAATTTAAGAGTAGAAAATGAGAATAGCCATATACGTATCCTTGCCTTTTATTTGATTGATTGATTGATATTTTGATTGAAAGTATCTGAGAATAGCCATGAATTTCTGTGGGTAATGTGGAGATGGTCTTCTTCCTCTTCACGAGGAAATTAAGGCCCACATTCCACACTGCAACCGATCAACCAACACGTATCCAATCGCCCAGAAAGAAAGAGACATTGTTGATTAAACCCACCAAACCACAGACAAAATCACATGATCAAACAAAACAAAAACCAAACAAGTCACTGTCAAATTAGAGCAAAAATCTAAACTTGAAGTCTGATGGATGCCATTTAGGCATTTACTCGGCTATTACACAAGCTATGTGTTCTCAAGGCTGAAAATATTACACAAGCAATCAAATTAACAAATCTTAACTGGAAAAAAGCTAGATTAATACTGATGATGATCTTCATCTTCTTGCTTCAGGGCTACAGAGCTTGCAGGGATGGGTTCATAACACTGTTATTCTCAGCTCTCGGACTGCTCCCTGCACTGCTATTCGAGTGTGAACAGAACGCCGCCTTCTGCAAAACCCCAGTCGGGGATGAAGCCATTCTTGGACTCCCATCCCATCCCTCCATGAGGTTAAGAGGGGCCGAGGCGTTTTTGCAGTCACCTGATGACTTACTGTTAGTGCTGTGAAAAACCTCGCCCAGAGGTCCACCCACAGATGATGATTCCCACGCTATGGGAATCCAGTTTCCTTGTCTTTGGTTGATAACCGCCCCCACTCCTAACCCCATTTGGGTGGTGGTTTCGTGCTCCCACGATAGTTTCAGCGGGGAAGCTGCAAGCTTCTCAGACACTGGAGACGACGTTGAAGACATGAAGTCTGAAGTGGACATTGGTATGGAGATGGAGAGGCGAGTTTGATCTGATTGGAGATCGATATCTGGCTGGTTCTTGGGCCAATCATCCATGAACTGATGAAGTGAATGGCGGGTTTTGCTCTCACGATCACTCACATCTTCATGAGTAGTACTATAGCTTGAAGAGCCGCCTTTACTCAAAGGATTTAGCAGAGGGTTGGAGCAGACTAATCCAAACCCTGATCTTGATGATGCTTCATAAGGATGATGCTGGTCTTTGATAATGGAATGTTGTTGACTCTCTTTTTCACCCTGATTCCCCTTATCCAGAAAGCTCCTAGAAACAGAAGAATAATCTTGCAACCAGTTAGCCAAAATTTGGGAAAAGAAACAGACAGTATTAAGACTAAGAGCATACAGCCATTAATGTGCAATCCAACTATCAGCTTAGACTTTTAGTTGAAATGGAGCACATGCTTCAATTTATATGATTTAAGATATATATATACCTGTAAAGGTGAGATGGTGGAGAAGGATTGGTTGAAAATGGCTGCAAATTGTTGTGATTTGAGAAGCCAATAGTGTCGGAAACACTGCCTCCGGGCACCACCACAGCTGCTGATGCTGAGGAAGTAGCCGGCGGCATCAGCTTAGTTGTTGCTGCAGCTGTTGTTCCAGCTTGACCTTCCACAGGCTTTCTTGAACGATGACGGCCTCTGTTCATATGCCGTTCGCAGTATTTTTGGTCGGCTACTGCATCTCTCGAGCACCGCCATTTCTTCCCATCTGTTCTCCTGCACCTCCCTGGCTCTGGATCAGTGGTGTTGGAGAATCCCAGATGGAAAGCACCCCATCCAACTGCCAACATATGAATACAGATTTGCAGATTTCATTTATCTAAAGAACAAGCTAGCCCTTTATTGCAGCACAAAATCAAGATAATAATGTATTTCAAAAGGGGGGAAGAGCAGAACTTACAAGAATTGGGTCTCAGGCCAGAATAAGCTGATAAGGCTGCAGAATCAAAGGCCTTTCTGATGGGGTTGAGAAGATAAGGAGGAATAGGCACATTTGCAGTTATGTACTTATAGATCAAAGCCTGGTGTTCCAGCTCCATCCACTGAGATGGAGTGAATGGCCCTCTCACTCCACTTACTAACCCATGCATGTTCCCAGAATTCAATCCTCCATACCCTGAAATGGAAACAACTAAATTACCTCAAGAAAGCCAAAAACTAAAACAGCTATCTTGATTGGTGGGTGGAAAAAGAAAAATGCCGCCTTTGGTATCAAGAATGTATGAGGAGGGGCAAGTAACATCACACTTTGAAAAAGGGATCACAAAAGTGTAGAAAATCTGGGTTTTGAGAGAGACCAATTAAGTAAAAAACAAAACCTCTGAGGAATGTGCATGAGTGACAGATGTTTTTTTCCCACTTTTCTACCTTCTTATTAGCACTGGCCAAACTGGTATCTTTGCAAACCAAGATTCTGTTGTGGAAGATGGTGTGAAAAGACATGGTTTCCAGCACATACTGGGAATTTAAAACTCAAAAACAGAAAACCCATGCAAGAAAGAAACAGTCTTTCCTAAAAAGCCACAAGCAGATCGAATGTTAACCCAATTTAAACATCAACTCAGGTTTTGGAGGCGAGTGGGCAGAGAATCATTTCCCTTCCAAAACGAGAAGCCTAGAGGTCTACTACCCAAACACATCATATGCCATTATTGCCATTTATGCACCATGGGTCACAATAAAGTTGGGAACTTTACGCGCAGAGCGTACCTGAGTTTCTGCTAAAAGCGGCATGGTAAGACGGCAATGGCAGTGTCTGCGAGTTGGCAGAAGAGAAACTGAGCATTTGCTGGCCGGATTCAGAGACTCCATTGGCATTAGATCTCAGTATAGCGGCGGTGGAAGTTTTAGCAAACTTGGTTTCTCTCCAGTCATCTTCGCCGGCCACCGCCGGCGGCGGCGGCCTTTCCTGCTTTAGAAATCCGCCAGATCCACACCACTTCAGCTTGGTCTCAACATCAGAAACAGCAGAGAAAACACTAGCAGTTGCTGGCAACACCCCAGTATCTAAACCCCCCAACACCCCCCCAAAATCCATCCTAAAAAGGGAGACCAGACCAGACCAGACCACACACCTAAAAACACAACAACAACAACAGACAGTGGAGACAATAACTACATAAACACAAACAGACGAGAGTAGTCCCTTGATTTCTTGGAGAAATGACCATTCTTATTAAAGATGATCCTTTTTTGAGGTCCCGGACACTGGGCGCGTGACTGTATAGGTGCTTATTAAGTGCTAGATAGCTAGCTACGTCTCTATAGTTATACCCAACCAGGCCTGAAAAGTGGAAGAAGACGACAGTACTAATATACTTACTGCGTTTTTCGGAACAAGTTGACGTTTCTCAAAGCTAAAAATAATTGGAAACCAAGACGGAGAAACAACCAGAGAGGAAATCGCACAAGTAACTTGCTTATATGGGAAATTCTTGCACCGCCTCATATAATTCAAATCTTTTAAGTCAATCATCAATTCTATTTGCATCACTCTAATTACTATTTACACCTTATTTAATAAGTGGGGTAAATATAATAATTTACTATTTGCACCAACTTCGTTAAAGTTAGTCGAACATTATGTTTTTATTTAAAAATATTTATTTATTATTTACTTTTATTTCAAAAAAAAAAATCATCTTCCTTCTCCGGTGAGAAAGCAGCCATCTTTTTTCTTTTTTAAATGTTTTCATTTTTAAATTTTTAATTAAAAAATTATTAATGCAATCTCGTAAATTACATTTGACTAGATTTTGTAAATAGTCATATTTATACCCTTATTTCAATTTACATAACCTATGTAATTGTTGAAATTTTCTACGTTTTTACCATTTCAAGTTATTTACACCTATTTTTCACTAGAGGGTAGTACAAATAGCAACACCTTGAGTCAATTACGGAGTATTTCTTTACCCCACTAGTACTAATTCAATCCCCAACCCCAAAGATCTGTTCATTTTGTACATAATCTCCACACTATTGCTGTCAAGGTTTGAACATTGATCGCTTTTCTCAAATACTGCCTACTGAATAGTAGCCCGTGCAAGCAATAAGGCGCATTACTAATTGCATTTTTGGGTGATGAGGGCACTATTTGTTTTTTTTTTTTTTTTTTTTTTAAATGAAGGTAAAACTGATAATGATAGTGTTTAGTAAATGACAGATAGCTGATTAAGATAATTAATAACTATTTTATATTGTAAATAAATTTTACAATGATATTTTTTAAAAAAATAATTACAAAATTTGTACTTAGAATGACAATTGTATGAGTATCTGCCAAGGTTGTTTTTTTTTTTTTTTTCTTTTTTTTTTCTTTTTTTTTTTAAGACGACGAAAGAGGTGGTAGAGTGCATGGAACAAATGCGCAAAAGCATGTGACCCTATTACATATATTCTACACTTTGATAGTTTGCTTTGTCCCGCTCTCATCTCTTTTTCCTCTCTCTTTCTATAACTATTACACAAGACTCATCCTTGACACAAACTCACAAAATAGCGTTTAAATATTCAAATCGATAATCTAACTTTGCTATAAAAGTTATTTCTAAAGTACTAAAAATTTAACTTTTAACATTAATATCAGTTCCTCGATTTGTAAGAATTTGACAACTTAATTTAAAAATAAAATATACAACCGTTAGGAAAAATTAGTATAAAGTAACACTTTAACGTTCATTTGGAAGTATTAATTTGGGTGGGGTCCACTTATGCTTTGCGTTGGGTCGAATCAGATTTGGATTCTCCTAGTTAAAATAATAAATTTGATATACTCCGTATTATATACTTGAAAATTAAAATAAATAATAGATGAACGAAAATTTGATTTAAAGTACATATAAAATTAGAGTTTGAGAAGACTTTTAAATATTATTGGTCTCACATTAAAATGTATTAGTATAAATAATACAATTTAACTTTGTAAACGAGTTTAAATTATATAACATATAAGCTCTCTTTTAAGCAAAATGTTTGTCCGAACAACTTACATATGTATACACATGATATTTGACTGGGTAATAAATAATATATATATTTTAAAAATTTAAATAAAGTACATACCGCACAATTAATCAAAGACCTACCTGTTGGAAAAGTATGCTGAGAATTGAATGCATGGATCACCAAAATTAGTAATGGTTGCATGTACTGTGCATTGTTAAATTCTTCACCAAATATTTTGTGTATTTAATTGCATGCATATGCTCTGAATTCATTCCTCCATTTGACCGGTCTGCAAATTCTCCCTATGCCTCTATCATATGCCTCACATATATGTATATACATATATATCTTGTAATTAATAATATATTAATTAGTAGTGTATAGTTTAGGTCCTATGGTTTAATATACCTTTTAATATTTTATAGTTATATCATACTTGAATTTATTTAAAGTCGGGTGATTTATACATGCATGACATGCATTCAATGAGACGTCAGTGAAAAATGATGATCACACATGCATGTGTGTATGTGTGTATGTATAAAAGACGAATGGTGAAACGCTATTATCATAATTTTTCTCTAATTTAGTAAAATAACAATGAAAATAGTCCACTAGTTGATTATAATTTCTTTAAAAAAAAAAAACAAACAAACTATAAACTCAACTTTATAAATAAAAAAATAAAAAAAAAAACAATATATAGGTGCAGGCGATATACCTTTCTCATTGTTATCATTTTATAATTTTTATTACTCTCTCAAAAAGAGTCCCTGATGAGATTTAAAATAAATTATTATTTAATTAGTTAAGGAGGATATTGGTTTGTCTTAAATTTCAATCTAGACATCTCCGGTCAATGAAGCAAGTGGGTAACGTGATAATTTTCCAATCTAGAGAGGACAATATTAAATCTTAACACCCTTTTGTCTACTCCACTTGCCTTTGTTTAAGTTACAACAACTAGGTTTATATCTATAATAAATTGCAATTAATAATATATTATTAATAAGATAATCAAAATTGAACTCCCAAAGCACATGACTTGCATACACACCATCATGAGCCCACCATTCAACTTTCCCCCTTTATTATTAATCATTAAATTTCACAAAATATTATTATAAAAAATTATAATATAATGATAGGACAAGAAAGATCAATATGTACACATAGTTACAACTTTTAGAATTATCTAGAATTTGTGACAAGGGGATTGGAAGTTATAAGATCCATAATGTCTAATGTACTCTGAGGCAAATTTATTTGCGAATTAGATATATATATGGTGACACATGTAGGGAGTGATCTTGAAATGCGAGTCCTTTGATACCTTTAATATAGTTAAACTTGTTTTGATGGCTAAATCGCGGTGGAATGGCTTGACTGATAGAAAGCTTAAAATGTAAAATATAAATTTGAATTTGTGTATATATATAGCAATGTCTTGACTTGAATAATAAGATTTGATTGAATATAAATAACTTAAAATGAAACTTTTTTCTTTAATGTTTTTATTCATTAATTTTGGTCAAAAATCAGTTTATGTCCATGCAGTGCAAGAAATTGTAAGTACGTACCAAACAATTGAATACCATTGAAGACAGTTGCGTCCTCGTTGGAGACATTGCTTAATGCCAGTTAATATGGACTTATTGGTTAGGGTAGTGATGTATTCCACTAGTCCTCCCCCTCCATAGCAGTAAATGCTGTGCTTGAAAAAGTTTCGAGATTTAGGTGGTGTTTGGTAAATGATTATTAACTGATTGAGTTAATGGGTTTGACTAATTGATATTATTAGCTTATTGTAAAAAAAATATTTGGTAAATTAGCTGTTAGAGCTAATAGTGATCAAATAAATCCAAATCAACTGATAAGCTAACTATTTTACCAGGTATATAATACTCAAAAGAAAGTATCCACAGACCATAGTCTCCTCCATATATGGTAGTATCAACTATGAAATAGTAAAACAGGTATCCACGCAGAGTGGCAGACTACCTTAAAAACCGTCCAATAAACCAAGCTAAGGATGTTGTCACAATTTGGTGGCGTTCATTAATATGTTTCCCTATTTCGATGGCAGCGCTGAACTAACATTTTTATGGGTGGGCCAAAATGAAAAGGCAGCATCATAAAATCATAGTACTACCAAATCGCAATATAGATTTCGCAAACTTTTGGTTGGACCCATCATATATTCATATCCCTCCTGTATAAATACCTAATCTATACACAACTTTATCCCGTGCTCGCATATGTTAAAAGTTAATGCTTCGGGTAATAACAACCCGTAAAAAAAAAAAGAAAAAAAAAAGACGAGCATAATTATTATATGTGGGGAATAATTTTACATATGGTGGTGTAAAAAAAAGGAGGTATTGTCCATTTCAAAAAGGGTCCCCGGGGCAAAAGAGTTTCACTGGTGACATTAATTCTCACACACATATGGACACTGCTTTCCCCAAGTGGCTACAATTGTGCTAGCCAGTAGCCACTTGTGACTATACAATACACACCCAATATAATACAACAGACATTATTGTCGCATGAATATATTCCAATGTGCATTGTACTATGCATATAAATATATATTAACGTACGATAAGCATGGAAATGTATGTATGTATATACATGCAAGAAGAGATAGGATTAGGTTTAAAGACCCAATGCATAGATATATGCATGCATGATTGTCGTGGTTGGCAGAATGGTGGATATGAAGGGGCAGTTTAATTGAGAATAAAAATGTGAAGAGATTAACAGAATTGAAACGTCTGGGAGATGATGAACACAAAATGACAAGCTAAGGGAGGGGAGGTGATGGAGATTGAGGAGACGAGAGTGGTTCGTTTCCTCTTTGCCGACAGGGGAAGTATGGGACCCAACACTTTTTTTTTTTTTTTTTTTTGCATCCAAATTATGCCAGCCTTTAAGGTCACCTATCCTTTTCTTCCCCACCACCATAGCGCCATGCTCATTCATGTAAGTCAAATGCCCCACCACCCCGCCCACCATTAATACAAATTGCAATAACATCCCACAACTTTTCTTGTCTTCAAGTTTTGGTACATAAGATAAGTCATAGGAAATAATTTACAAGTATCGTCTATGGGCGATAAGAATCAAACCATGTACCTCGGAGGAGTGGATAAACCTTATTTGAGATGTGTTTCAAGTTTCAACCGTTTACATGCAGGTACAAGATATATACCCTAGTGAAAGAGATAAAAAGCCAGATATGTTTCAACAGTCTTCACGTTTTTTCAAATATATACTCTCATTGCACTTTAATAAAAGATATAAAATATAAATTACTGGATATATCTCAATTGTTTACAAGTACCTCTCATTCATAAGAATTGAACCATGCACCTCAAAACGACTAATAAAACAAAGTTAATAATAATTAAGTCATTTATATTAATCAACAATTTTTGAACTTTGTCCTACTTTACATTGTCTGATCTTTTTTAGTACATATGAAAACTCTCAATCATTATCGGAGAATATGCATCGGATACACCTAATCTTATGACTTAATTAATTAGTCATATATAGCTGATCAATTTAAATTTGATAAACTAATATAAATTACTTATCACTAATCATTAGCTCAAATCAATATGGTCAATATGCTGCTTTTAACTTAAATGCATTGTTGGTTGGGCACTTGGCCACTTGGGTGAGATGAGGGTGAGTTTGATATTATTCTCGAGGGCCAATGTACAATCTTTATCTTCTTTCTGAGCCTTAAATATGGGAGGGAGGATTCGAAATGGGCGTTTTTCAATGAATTTACTTTTTATGTCCAAGAGCAACGTATTTCTGGATAATCATTTTAAATATTATTTCAACCAAAAGATATGCTTCTCTCTCCCTCTCTCGCACTTGCAACTTTTCCTCCCAGATATACATTAAAAAAAACAAAGAGAGAGAAAGAGTACGAATGGGTATCACTTTCGTTCTTGCTGTGAGTGTTGCATGAATGGTCATTTTCAGTATAATTGTATTTAGACGACAAACATTTTTAAAATCACGCTGTATTATATTCTCTACTACGTTAAAGTAAACAAAATTACTTGATTATTATTCGAAATAGTGATTAAATAGGTAAAACATGATTATAAAACGAGTTGTTACAACTATGATTGTGAATTGTTTATCACAACTAACTGAAAAGATCAATTGATATGAATATCTAATAAAAAATTACCATGTCAAAACCGTTAGTATAACGCACTATATACTCTCTACTAACTTTATATTCCATATAATGTACCCTAATATTTTTGTATTTAAATTTAATTACACTATCAAAGCCAAACACTTTGTGCTCAGATGGCATGTAGTGACCTCCGTGGAGATGTTATTGACTCTTTGTGATTCATTAAGTTGAGAAAGTATATTTGAACATATACTACAATATAATAGAGTCAATAGCATTTTTAAAAAATTACGCTATCAAAAGTAGAAAAGTTAAATGTAAAAACTATCAATTTAAACAATTACGTACACTATATTCTACATTATCATCATTCTCTTCTATGCCAAATGGTATCGTGATAAAGTTGACTAGGAGAGACTCTACGAACATGTATCATTGAGTACATCACGACCGTTATATATATATATATATATATATATATATATATATATATATATATATATATGCGTGTGTGTGTGTGCGTGTGTGTGTTATATCAAATGAAAACTAGTCTTTAGGAGATAAATAAGAATTAATATAAATCTTACATCTGAAAAAAATAAATCGACCAAATCAAAATTATTTAAAAAAAAAAAAAGTGGCAGCATTTTTTAATTATCACCAACTTTATTTTGCAAACTTGAACACTGAAATTTGTATTTTTCAAAAATTTTCAAGTTTGCACATTTAGTATTAACATATTGCACAATTAGAATTAACATTTTGTCACATTTAGTATTAAAAGATTGCACTTTCAAAAATGTGAAAGTGCATTGCACTTAGGGTTTTGATTTTCACGTTTTTACTGCTTAGGGTCTAGCATTACCGTTTAGATTTAAATTTTATCTTTTTCATTGATTTTATAAAATTTATCAGGTTTGCATATGTAGTTGTTAAAGATTGCATATATAAGTGTTTAAGTTTGCATAATGAAATTGATGATAATTACAAAAATATCACAATATTTTTTTTTAAATATGATCTGATATGCCAATTTTTTACAGGATGTAAAACTGTGTTTGGTTCTTATTTCTCTCATATGGTATTGTTTTCACATGATGCTTTATTTATATAAATATATATATATATATATATATATATATATATATATATATATATATATATATATATATATATATATATCTTTTGTGTGTGTGTTATATTCATGGTATGGGTTTTAAATGAAAGTAACCAATAATTGTGTGCTGGGTGTTAAGTCTCTTTCAAATTTCAAGCCATGCGCAATCACCAGCAAAAAATTATTTAAAAGTGGACTTGTCACATATCATCATTAGTTATTAAATATGAATATATGATCATCAATAATAGAAGTATATATATGCATATATTTTACGACAAAATGTTTTGCACTTTTCAATTATGCTCTAACTGTGTACAACCCAAAAAGGTACTCCGTAATAGTTAAGGTGATTGGTTTAAGTGATATTTTGAATTAATATTACAATTTTTTAAAATTTACAAACGCTAAGAATATGAATGACATGCGATTTTCAAGAAAATTATATAAAATAAATAAATAAACAAGTTTGAAAATATCACTTTTGATATGTTACATTACATCCTTTGAACCGAACATAAAAATATGGTATTACCATATTCACATTTTAAAGATTATGCGAGATCATTTAAACCAAATGATTTCTCTAAGTTAAGTTCATAAAATTAAATTTAGTAATATCAATATATTATTACATAAATAAATGAAAATGACTATTTTTAATTTTTTTTCCCGAGACAAATTTGTATTCAATATCCAAGTGTGTGTTGAAATATCACATTTTTACATATTAGTCCGTAAACTACACAGGAAAAGTAAATCACACTAAAAAGACCCTTGCAATAAATTCAATTGAAAAGAGTATGATAATTATAAAATTTTAAATTTTAGATATGAAAATAACATTATATCCACTCAGTTACCTATAGTTGTAATTTGTTGGGGTTTGGCTTTATGATATAACGAAATGAATTAAATCTCCACCGTCAAATTTCTTGGTTATGCTTGTTGGATTTCATTTAAGTGGTAGATAGGGACAAAAGATAAGGTTGTAGAGCAGGAGGAAAATTAAAAGGATGTTGGGTGGGCAGCAAGCTACAATAATGGTGGTACATCAAGGAAAATAGTAATTGTACTATCTTTAAAGAGTAAAACTCTTGTGAAATATTTTTTTTATTTTATGAGAAGATAATCATTTGAATAAATATTTTTCAATTCGAGTTTTATTACATGTACCCTCAAATTTTACTACTTTATTTTTACTTCATAATATGACAAAAACTTATACGATATTATCATCATGTAGGTCCCATAAAAAAATCTACATCAAGAATTTGTAAAAGAGAATAAAGTTTAAAGTAAGAAATGAGAGTCCATGTGTCCATGTAGTATTTTCTAAAGGAAAATACTATATCTACTCCTAATTTTTTACTCACACACACAAAATCTTGATGTCACATTTGTATTGGGAGTTGGGACCCACATAATTTTTTTTTTTTTTATCAGTGACCACAATATTAGTGAGTAAAATTTAGGGGTACATATAGTATAACTATTTTCATTTTCATTCACTACTACTACGTGCAGTACCATAGATTTGATTGGACTTTAGAGAAGAAGGACAGAATCTCCAAAGTTCAACACCCTCTAGTGAAATTCTACTACAACCACTACTGTATATTAGTCCTTTTTATTAGTTATAAGAAATTAAAAACTCTCAACAATTTTTGTTTTTAAACAAATCTGATCAATAATAAACTTTAAAAAAAAAAAAAAACACACACACACACAATAATCAACAAAATAAAAAACTACCAATACATGCAGATTGAGTTTCCAAGAAAATGTATTGGAAAAATACAAAGAAAGTTTATACACAAACGGAGCCTACAACTACTATATAACCTTAAAAAACAAAAAAAAAAAACTACTATATAACCTTACCTTACACATTGGGAAATACATAAACCCAGGTGTGTGTTTGGACCGACGACCTGGAAACAAGTAATTATTGCATAATTGTTTATTACTCAAAATAATTAAACAAAAAATTATTGCATTTTTTTTTTAGAAAACCAAAAAAGAACAATAAACCCATGGAGTAATAGGGTGTCGTGGATGGCAGAGAGAAAAACAAAGAAATTATTTTTAGTAAAGTAGAAGAAGTACAGTACTATGTATGCAATGGACAAGAAAGAAGCTATAAGCATACGACTGCATGTCTAATCCCAAAGGCATGTCTCATCAACTTTTTTTTTTTAAATCTTAATTTCATGTTCACATAATAAAGAATTAGAATATGTTTTTTTTTTACTATTACACGGTAATAAAATAAGGGGAAAAAAAAAAAGAGTACAAGAAGAATAAAAATGTTGATTCTTGAAGGGTAAAAAGCTTGAAGAATATAAAAGAGTGATTGCATGCCAGCCCTTAAGCTAGTTGTAGGTTGGTGTACTTTTAGGTGTGCATCAAGTTGGGTGTCTTCTTGTTAGGCCCTGCCCTGCCTAGCTAGGGCTGTCTTTCAATGTTTTCAGACTCTACCTAACCCAACCAGCGTGAACCTTTCAACATTATTATTATAATATTTCTTTTGTTATATGGTTTTTATGGATTATTTTTAGGATGCTTATAGTATCCAAGGTAACAGTATATGGTTCAACCAATATTAAAGACTAGTCAAGTAAGTTGAGCAAGATTTTCAAATCAAAAAATTATAAATTTAATTTTTATCAATATTTCTCGGTTGAATTCGTCACATTTAAGGCTTTGTGGAGTTTATCCAATTCAAATCCTCAAGTAATAGTAGTTACAGATTTTTCTTGTATTATCAACACTAATATCAATCTCCATGTTTGGATAATTTTCATTTCTAATCCTTCAATTTTCGTGACATTTCTACTTATAATTATCAATTATCATTTTTAATTTTTTTCTTTTGACTTTGAATTTCCTACCACTTCTAATTCTTTTGGAGAGTTTTTTTTTTTTTTTTTTTTTTTTGTAATTTTAATAAACCTAACATTTCTTGAATTAACTATCACCTGAAAACATGCCAAAATACAGTTAATTCAGCTTATCTTATCTTAGAAAACACTCCAACATAGATTAAAAATGGCAAGAAATTTCATATAATGTTTTATGAAAATTCACCAAATAATTTAAAGTTGATATATTAATATTGAAGAATGATAATCTAAAATTATAAATAAAATTTCACAAAAATTAAAAAAAAAAAATTACCCCAAAAATATGCTACTCCGTATATAACAAGTGTGTCTCATGTTACTTAGTTATATTTACTTTTTATTTTTTTTACCAGACTACAAGGGGGAGGATGATGTGGACGAAGAAGCATCATCGTGGTCAAAGATCATTATTTAAATAAAGCATTATTTTATAATGTAAAAAAAAAAAAAGAAAAAAAAAAGAGAAAAATCGCATGGCTCACCAAAGAAGATCCAACCGTTCATCATGCAAATCGCAAATAAAATAAAAATAGAAATAAATATATGTGCATTGGAAATGATGACGTAGCGTGCCACATGGCACGTGACGGCGACGTAGCGGGCGATGCTTTCTAGACCAACCTTACCTGGATTGAATCAAGCCCACGGCCCAGAGGATGAGATGCATAAAAAGATTTTAAGTCCCTTTTGGATCAAATTCCAACATGCTAAATCCAGTTAGTTATACTAATTTAATTATTATATTAAATTACCGAGTAATTAATTACTAGTAGTTGGAATTTGTAATCCTGGCTCAAAGCCCTAGACCCTATACATTATTCATGTTTGGACCACAAATATATAATTTAAAGACAAAATTCCATGCAAGGTTCAAATATTTTCAATTTAATTTAACGCTTGAACTATTTAATCGTTTTTATGTCTTTTTGAATAGCATAAAACCTTAGGCTCACCATATTAGTGGTTGTTTCACAATTGTTTAGGCACCATGTTTATGTGAATGAGAGAACTTTTAACTTTTTATGTAAATAGTGGGTTTTTGTGGGACTTTGCAAGAGAGAGAAATGCAAAGGAAAAAGCGCGGTGGCTTGCATGGGGGCACATATCGCGTCGGTTGGCGCTTCAAGCCCTTTTTTATTTTTTGTCAGATATGTCTTTTTCTATTTTTTTTTCATCTTTTTCCTTTTTTTCTTTCTTCTAGTTGGCACCTCAAAAACCATTCCAAAAAATCTCACTATTGAGGATGCCCTTACAAATTGTAACATAATTTTTTTTTGAAAACCAAGAAACGAACTTATATTAATTTACCAAACAACTCCAAAATACAATAATACATCATAATTATGTGGTTTAAACTCTCCGTATTACTTTTGACTGCTAACAAAATCTCGTAGTCAATATTCTAGAGTTTGCACTAGGTAAAATCAATTCTTGTATAGTAGCTTGCAAATGATATAGGGGATGTTTAATAAATGGTTGTTAGGTGATTGTGTTAGTGGATTTGACTAGTTGATTGCATTAGATGATTGTATAAAAGTATTTGATAGATTAATTGTTAGTTGATAGCTTATTATATACAAAATGTCCTTTTCAAAAAGCTGATCGGAACTAGTTACTTTGAGCAGTTTTTTGAATTTTAGCAATTTTTTGAATTTTAACATTTTAAAGCAATAAGTTGTTACAAAAAAAAAAAAAAACTAATTAATCAAACACGCATATATTAATTGCTTAACCAAGTCAAACAGCTAATAGTGGTCAAATAAGCTAAAATTAGTTGACAGCTTAACTATTTTACCAAATAGAACCATAATATAGGTAAATTGCACTAAGAATATCTTATGCGACCAGCTTGACTAAGGGAATATTAGCAATAACAGAACTTGTGACTTTCAAGTATGAGAATCATGCACCATTTAGTCACTCATTCCATGAAAATTTAGTATTACTTTTCAAAAGGTTGATAGGTGATTTATGAGAGTGAGTCACTTATAACTATTCATAACATTGTAGTCCAATGGCACCAAGATGCTTCCTCATAAGGAAATTTGTGGGTTAGAGCTTCAGCGGAAACGATATTAATTTTTTGTGTTTCATTTGTTTGAGAAAGTAGTTATGAATAGATATTAGATTGTAATAAAGTCAATATTATTAAAAAATAAAAAAATCATAACAATGGGTGGTTCCGTGGTTACTGAAAAATTAGGTATAGTCGATTAGGAAACTTCTAATATAAATGGCAAGACAATCGTGAGCAGATTTAACAAATATTTAGATTTTAATAAAGAAAAATCCAGTTGGTATGTTTACGAAGATTAAGGCACATGGGTGTTGATTAGATTAATGATGAATAACAAAAAATTGGACGCAATTATCGAATATTCGCACGCATACGACCGGAGAATTAAAAAAGTGGAAGAAATCCTAATTCTTTGCTTTGGTCCTAAGGCCTGTCATGTGACAAGATCTCGGGATTGACTCAGCCTTGCCTGCCAACAAAATTATACTCTACAACATGATTCATATCGTAAAATAAATTATGGTAAATATTTATTTTTAGTATGTTAAATGTTCATAATTTAAATAATATATTATAAATAAATTTGTAATTGTAAATACGAAAAAATTGAATATATTAAATTCAAATACAATATTTTAGTTACAAGAAGTATCAATGCGGTGTAAGTACAAGATCTCTAGATAATTTTTTAATTATTTAATATTTCATTGAAGGCCCTCCTTAATTTAAGTTCAAGTGGCTTAATCTTCCTGGAAGGATTTATATGGCTAACGCTTTGTTGAAGGGCATCCGGACCCGAATGACTTGATCTTCAAGGTAGGGATTTCATGTTTTTTTTTTTAAACTTTTATTTTTAGGAAATTTTGTGGTGATCTTTAAATAAACTTCAAAGGATATTTTCATGATATGTTAGAGCTCCTATTTATAGTGATAAGATATGAAGACTATGTTTTGATCGGTGGACTGATTGCGACTCTCACGGTTTACTTCCACAATGACTCTAGGGACAAGGTCTTGTGGACTTAAGATTAGTCTGACGAAGCTGAGATCACCTAGGTATATAAAAAAAAAATGAAGAGTTTTAATATATTCAAACTCTTTTGATACGGAGTATTATCGGTCTAATTAAACAAATTATATAATATTAATATTATCCAAAATATATTCAAATATATGAATGTTAAAAAATAATCATATTTATTATATTTGCAGTGTCTACGGTAATATATTAAAAAGGGGCATTCAATATATTAAAAAAAAAATTATATGTTAATGGTGAATCTTGTGAATTTGTGATTCTTGTCATTTGGAGTATGGTTTAATATAATGCTGGTTTCTTGCCTGCTACAAGTTTTCCCTTCCTTCCATTCTCATACTTTACGTTTTACCATTATTTCACTTCACTATATGATTAATTAAATTAATTTAGCTTTTTCGAAAATAAATAAATTAAGCTAATTAAGCATGCATGTTGTCGAGGCATCTCGAGGTTTGGCATAACCGTCGTTGGTTAAACCAACCTATTGAACAATATTTAATATTAGATAAATTCTCGAGTTCTGTGATTCTTTTTAAAATTAATTAACGATTTATTATTTTCGTTTTCTCAAAGTAAATAAACAAATGAGTGTAGAAGATGGTCCTTCAAACCTATCAAATAAAATGTCATAGCATGCTATGTTATCGAATCAATTGGAGTAGTTGGTAAGTGGACTATTAATGTAAATATAATGTCATATACTTGATTTTATATGCATGTATTATGTTAAATAACTCCCAATAAATATATCATGGAATATGATATACAATACAAGATCAACTATTAACATATATGTTCATATTTAGTATATTGTGGCCCTGTTTGGTAAAATAGCTGTTAGCTGATAGCTGATTCTGTTAATTAGAGTGTATAAATAGTTGATAACATTAGCTGATTGTAGAAAAGTGTTTGGTAAATTAGCTGTTAGCTGATAGCTGTTTGGTGTAATTTCTTTTCTCAAAAAGCTAATTGAAAAAGTTGCTTGGAGTAGCCTTTTGAATTTTAGCCTTTTGAAGTTGCAAAAAACTAATTAACCAAACATTTATATTGATATGTTAACTAAATCAAACAATTAATAGTGATCAAATAAGCCAAAATTGGCATATAGGCTAATTTTTTACCAAACAGGGCCTGTATCTTTTTTTTTCACGGTTTTATATATATTTTTAGTAAGTTTATTATATTTCGTTACATATTCATTTCTAGTGTAGTACTTAAAAATAAATTTACAATATACTAAAAATGAATATGTATCAACGAATTCGTGTTATAATGTGGACAATGGTTCATAAAATAAAACTTAATGTATATAAATATTACATTACAAGTGCAACATGGTTGCAATGTGAGTTGAAGAGTGCGGATGACTATTAAACATGATATTTTAAAACGACGTTGTTTTGAACTATGATCTAACAAGTGAATTAGTGTTGTAATAAGGAAATGGGGAGAATAGGCCCATGTACTAGAGATAGGCAAACTTCAAATGGGCTTATGCTTTGCTATTGGATAATGATGTGTTTTGTTTGGGGTGTTTAATGGGCCAAATCCTACCCCATTCTGCTACTTGTACTCACAGCTATGTTCATAGTTCATACACAACAAGAATACATCCATCATCATGGGGATTGAGAATGCAGCAAAATCTGACAGTTCAAAGTGCAGTTCATACTCTTAGAAAAGTCAGAATTGGATATCAGAGCATTGTTGGGAAGAACGAGTCGGGGGAAGGAAGGCATGCATGGTGAAATAACTGCGGATTATTAGGTAAGGTAGGTAGGTAAGTGGTGGTGGTCAAGAATAAGTGTAACAAAACTCTCTTATAACTTTATTATAAGTTGTGAATTTGGCCCGACATTGCATTATAGAGATAAATACTCCCTATTGTAATAAGTTTTCAAAAAAAATTATTAGATATTTTTTAAAAGAAATATATGGTAGTAATTCACAATTTAGTCATTGATTTGGCAGGATCCGACCCGATTCAAATCGCAATCGATGGATGACCCATACCCGAATAAAAGGTCGGGGTCGTAATTTGGAGTCCAAATTTTCTATTTTCTTTGGTTCTGAGTGAGTTTTCCAGCAATCTGTGAATCTCATTGGTTTCTTCTCCAGACAAGACACAGTCCACAAGCCTTCCATGGCTCTCTACGCCGTAGAATTCAATTCAGAAATTGAAGTCCAGAAGTGATATAATCATCCATTGTAAAGTGGCCACAACTATAGAGCGTTCTCTTTCATCATCAGAAGAGGAGAAGAAGAGTGAACAATGAATCTGCTGCCAAGCGGAGGCGGCGGAGGGGCTTCTCTGTCCTCTTCTGACCGGTGCGCTTTGAAATTCGCCCACCCAATTCCTCCCCTCTTCTCTAACCGCCGCCCCGGGCGTTCCAATTGCAACCCGACTCAAAGCCCGCAAACTCCGCCCAAGCTCCCCAGTCTTGCTGCCGCTAACCCGGGAGCTACCCGGCCCTCTGCCGCCACCGTCACACCGCCCAGTTCAACTCTAGACACTCACGTCAATGCCGCCGGTGATGATGTAATCTCTTTGATCACCCAAGATAAGGTTCCTCCTGAAGGTGTATTCCAATTCCAGAAGCCCAATTCTTCTTTTCGCATTGACAAATGGAGGTAATTCTTGTTATTCTTCTTATGTCATGATTAAAATTCGATTTTTGATTTTGCGTGAATAAAGTTTTTATTTTTTTTTAAACTTTAAATTGGCAAGTTTAGTAAAGTGGCATTGTTAGCTGGAGGGGATGTAGTGGCTTTGCTGTTGTTCTCAGCAATTGGAAGGTTCACTCAGGGATTGCCGGTCTTCCACTCAGAGACATTGCGAACAGCTGACCCTTTTACTGCTGGTATGGGCAGTAACTAAATACTTACTGTGGATGCTTTCACTTTTTTTTTTTTTTTTTTGAAATTGGATGCTTTCACTTTATAAAGCTTAAGAATGCATGTTTGAATGAATGGGCATGTCTGAGTTGTTTATTTATGCTGTGTTAATAGGCTGGTTTTTTAGTGCATATTTTCTTGGGGGATATGCAGAGGATGGTCTAGGAATGAATGGTCTGTTCAAGGGGTTTATTGCTGCAACAAAGACTTGGTCTTTAGGTATCCCAGTAAGTTCCTTTACATAATTTTCAGTTTACTAGTTAATCTTTACGAGTGTTGATTGATTTCTCTTAGAATCTGTTTGCTCATCAGTTATGTTGCTATAGAGAGCTTGGGTGATTATGTATCCTGCAATTCAATTTTTACAAATAATTTTCTCACCAACATGTTGTGCAAGGTTATATTGACATTGCCTCTGTTGCAAGAGTTGTTTAGTATGCACTATGCAGTCAGTATCTTAGATAAATAGACAAACTGGAGAGTAACGGACACTTGCATAGTTGAAGTATACAAGCTACAAGCCTACAAATACTAGACATAGACTAAGTGAATTTTTAGGCATTTAGAAAAGTGAAAAGTGAAGCTAGAATTAGACTCTCTATATTCTGAATTGAAGAAAGAGGAATTGTATGCTGGAGTGCCATGGGAATTAAGGTGCATGTGGACCTTTTTGGAACTGAAAATGGGTAAGTGTTATAACATAACTTATTTTCTGTTTTTCTTCTCTGGCAGTTGGGTTTAATTATTAGGGCAACAACAGACGGTCACATACCGTCAGCCAACATTATCACAGCTACAATGAGGAGCACTGCTGTATTGCTTATTGGATGGAGAACACTATTGCTGAGTTCTTTACCAGATGGGAGGCGATGAAAATGATGTTAATAAGCATTGTAACCCATTGCACTTTCTGAGGTAAGGGTTTTCTCATTTAATCTGAGACAGTCTCTCTTTCTTATTTTGTCACTGTGTTCATGAACTTTAGTCGATATGCTGCCATTGCTGCTCTGATTTTGCTTTGGTCGGTAAAAAAAATTAAACTGAGCCAAGTAAAATTTGAACTTCACAAATGGGGGTATGATGCATCTTGGTTTCCATTTGATCAATCAGATGCTGCATATAAGATAAAGTTTGTTATACCGTATAACTATTGCTTGCTTAATTTCACAAAGTAACGGCTGGCATTTTCTTTGGCTTTGCAGGTTTTGACATCACTTGTGGGAGGATGATAATTGTTGCAACACAAGTGAGCTTTACTATACATACTATTAGAAGGCAATTTTCAAGATGCAAGAGAAATTGGCATTTCTTAATATCTATGCAACATTTTGATGGAATTTCCCAAATGCTTCAGCCATAATTCCTCCCGGCAATCAGTATAAGATCGATGTGCCTGATTACTCAGACGGTTTGCCTGCTAAATGTGGGAAGGAAGAATCACCAACCCACAATAACTCTTTTTGCTCTATACATATCAAAGTCTTCAGAAATAGACTTCAATAAAATGACCTTAGATTACTTGAGAACTTCTAGTCACATATATCAGAATTTCAGTGTCCAAAAACTGATATATCAGAATAATATATATATAGTTTTCTTGGGCACACTTTAACTGATGATACAAATCATTTCTTGAGCATCCTATTAGCTGAATTTTGTATCTTATGTTGTCATGGTTGGGTGAAGAGCATATCCACCTTGCCACTATAAGCAGCCATGATTTTATTCCCTTATTATATCCGCAGATTCTGGAGAAGAGACATGCTTGCCCTCAAATTTCTTCAACACCTATGTGGAAACTGGAAACATAGAGTCATTTATCCATTTTAGACAAAATCTTTAGCATTGACATTTTTCAGAAAATCTAAAGTATTGATCCAGACTACATTTGTGTTGTTTACATGTTCATTGTATCTGTTTCGAGAAAGAGACCTGTGCATTGATTTGATTCAGCAGAGAGAAAATCTACAGTGATTGTGACCAGACAATTCAGCTTAGATACAAGATTACTTACTACTATTATATTAAGCACCATTAAAGAATGGTGTAAGCAAGGAAGGAAGCAGGCATATATGGAGGGAGGGTTGGTGTTTTTCTTGGATCCGCTGGTGTCATTACTGTCTGAGATCAGTTGTCGTTATCGATCAGCTGTTAAGGTAGACAAACGTCTGACTTTTAATTCTGGGTTTGGGTTTGTGTTGGGCAATTGGGTAGTGAAGTTAATTGGCTCTTATTTGCTTTTGGATTTTCTGCTCTCTCTCTCTCTCTCTCTTTCTTCTCACGTGAACGAGTGCATTATATTGCTCTTTTCCCCCCTCATTTATTGCTTTACCAGTTTAGCTGCAGCTGGGTAGCGTGAGCACTGAGCTTTTTTCCTTGTTACGTACAATGTTTCAACTTTGAAACATAAGCTTCCAACTCCCATATTTCGAACAACAATCTGGGTTCTGGTTGAGTGGGAGAGACTGATCTATCTTTAACTAATTCGATGTTTGAGTTTGGGTATAGAGCAGTCAGTCGTTAACTTTGGTCTTTTTATTGAGGAGATCCCATAATTAACCAAAGGGAGTGGGAAAACCACATAATTTGAATGGGAGTGAATTCATGAGTTTGTGTTGGGTGGATTCACTCATCATTACTACATAATCAAAAAGCAAAGAAAATTTAAAGAATCACCACCAATCACTTCCACACGCACAATCTCTTACCTCCCATCATTAACTGTTCTTTCTTGCTTTTACAATTCCCTCCCAATTCAAATCTCACTTTCTGGATTCAAACCAAATCATTATAATTGGAAAATATGTCTCCCCTCATTTGCCACCTCCATGCACTTCTGCATGCAATTCTATCTCCCATGTTCAACAATTCTTTTCTTTTGCCATTATTATACTTAAAAGCAAAACAAGTTATAATTTGGGTTAGCTTTCTTTCTACCTATCTAGCTAGGTTTATAGTCCATATATATCCTTTATTGTTGGACCACCATTAACAACTTCATCCATTTTCTTATCTATTTATTCACCTTTAATTTTTGTTGGGTTGACAAGGTAATTATGGTTCTAGAGTTTCTTAAGTACTAAGGAATTGGTTTAATTGCTTACCACAAATTTTGAATGTATCTGTTCATTTGTCACGGTTTCACCTACTAAACTTTAAACTACATATTCATCAATTTTAACACTAATCGTTATAGTCAAGTTATGTTTCGAGAAAGATCTAACGACTTAGGTTTATATGAATGTCCCATAGGATACAATAAAAAAAATTAAATATGTCGCCAAAAGCAACATAGCCTGATGAATGATGGCCCACCCCACTGAAGAGTGCCTAGCGTGGTTAGGGAGATACCATTTATTTACGACCGTCCATTCTATTGCTACTTGAGTCTTACTGAATAAATATATATAATATTCATTATTGTTGACCGTAAAACCTATATTGTCGTTGTGTGTGGATGAAGTAATGCTACGCGTCTCGCTTGTTTGTTTAGCTAATGCGCATCTGTAGGTCATGACATGCCTTGAGATGGCCACCTCTTGTCCCCTCACTAACAATAACTGTTTTACCAGTTTGTCGGTTCTTGATTATAAGTTATAACAATTCGTATGATTTGGTTTTAAAATTAAATTTGAAATACTTTTGTGGGAGAAAAAAATAGTCATTTATTTATATTTTGACATAGAAAAATCTTTTCATTTGTCTTGGTAATTCTATAGTAAAGGCATATTCTTGTCAAGATATGAAACAATTCAAGGCTAGCTCTAGGACTGTGTTACAGTAGCCCTACGATGCAGGAAAAAGATTGGCATTTTAATCGCACTTTTTATAGCTAAGCTACGTAGATAACATTCTGCAGATCGATACCAGGCCACCCTAAAAAGGAGAATTTTCTGCTGTGGCATTACCTACCAATTTCACATCGTTACCAAATGTGCTTAATTATGCCATTAATTACCTACTTTAGCTAATAACGTTGTTCTTTAGGTTGTCAATTAAGGATGCTTTTGTTAAGGGCCCTTTGCTCATCATTCCTGGAATATATGGAGCATATTATAGACCCACGACCACCCACTCCCTGACTTTTGTCTGGCATCAGGTTTTGACTACCCTCCCTAATTCTCCCTTTTCATACACCAAACTCCTGCCCATACTTTATAATGTCCCAACATCCACAGATCCGAATATATGTTTTAGGTTAAGTTTCTCTTGTAACTTTAGTTAGCAAAGGATTACGTGACAAGAGATAAATCAACCTAAGTTTTGTATAGTTATCGGTTCAAATCAAGAATGTCAATAGACAACTCTCCAAGTCAATTGTCTGACCACACAGACCTATACATAATAGTTTCATAAGCCAATATGTGTATGTAATATTAGAATATCAAATAAACGTTCTAACCATATTAAATGGTGTAATGACTCTTGTAAGAGTACACCAAATTGGATCGAATCCGAATTAATCTAAAGCGTGTTAAAGATTGAGGACAAAACGAAAGGATAAAGAAGTAAATTCTCTATATTCTTTCATGGTACATGAGCTGATGAGAGCATGAGACAGTGAATTGAATTTTGGTTACTCCGTATTTATTAGAGTCCAAATTCAAGGAGGAGTACATATTACACAGCCTACAGCCACCTATGTAAAACCATGTTCCCATTTTCATGAAAGGGTGTGGGATATTGAAAAAAGGGAGATTGACTATATGAGGATATGGATTCAAAGTTCAAAGTAATAATTCTGCAATATTTTCACATTTTTTTAAAAAATCACATTTCATAAATTTTTATTTAACGTTATATGTTTTAATTATATACTCCGTATTAATTTTAAAAACAAATAAACAATAAGGTTATAAATTATCATTTTGTTTTCTTAAAATAAAATAAAACATATACAAAGACAATTTATTTCATGAGACACTTGTCATTTTCTTTGTACGTAAGGTCACAAGAAAATTATGGTTTTTAAAAATGAAAAAAAAAAAAGAGTGTGCAGAGTGGTGGCAGGGTGAATGAATGGTGGTGGGGTGGGGGTGGGGGTGGCAGTACGTACAGAGAAAGAAAGCTGTACGTACTGTATGAAGTGACTGCATGGGCAGATGTCCTTTTTCCTTCCCTCATTTCTGTATCTATCCTAATTACGGAGTAGTAATTATACTTTTTCTTTTCTTTTCAATTTACCCACATTTTGAAAGGAAAATAATATACATATTCTTAGGCAATAAAATTTTGAATAGGTTAATACTAGAGACTACTCTCTACTAGGTTTAGAGTCATATTTAATTTAATTTGTAAGTTTTGATTCTTACTTAAAATGGTCTGGCTCAGAACTATAAAATATGTTGTTCGAATACAAAAGCCATTTTTTAACATTACAGTTATTTTAATATTTTGCTTATCAAGTGTTATACATAAGGTGTAAAGGTGGGGTGTGCCTTTATTGGCCCCAATGCCCCATAACATTATGTTAATGGATGATAAGCTCAATGTAAGATTCGCTTTCCGTGACAAAAGATGACGTTTTGATTTCTGTTACGAGTATTGGAAGTTTGGATTTGGATTTGGATTTAAATTATATTTTTTATAAGTATAAGTAAAAATTTGATATTGAATCTCAATTCTTAAAGCTAAATTGATTTGATTATCTCTTCATAGCCTGATAATGGATTCACGGTCCAGAATATAGTTGGACGAATTTGAGAACATTGGTTATTTTGAAAAAAAAAAAAGAGTGTGGCTTTATATAGTAATGAGAGTAAGCCGGGAAAAAGGAAACTTGTCTTTGTTATTATCAGAGTCTGACCAGCCTCTCGCCCCATTGGCTCTTTCCTTCCCCACTAGATTGAAGCGATCTTCTTCAATCTTTTACTATTTACTCCGTAATACGGTACAGCCCGTCTTCCCCTTGAGGAAAACATTTAAATCCCAGAAAAAAAAGGTTTCTGCTTTATTTAGTTAATCCCCTTTTCATGGCAGACGAAGCTCAATAAGTAGTGGGTTTTGTCAGTTTTAATGTCTCATCTCAGAGCTGAGTTTTTGGAGGGTTATGGTAGTCTGGGTTTAACTAGGGTTTAAGAGTGTGATTAAGTGAGAGTATATAAACAGTCTTTGCATAAAGCACTAGTCTTTGGAAAGCTACTTCTCGTTAGGAGTGTGTATGTATAAAACACAGATCCCTATGGACTGCTTGCCTGGGGTGATGATACTCATCAGCATTGCTGCCTGAAACTCATTCTCTTTGTTTAGTTCAAAGGGTCCTTCTTTTTTTATAGATAGAGAGAGAGAGAGAGAGAGAGTCTGTGCATAGATAGAATAGAAGGGTTTTTGTTATTTTCTTGTCTTCTTTTAGATGATTGTGTTGAAGGTGAAGATGAAAATGGAGTTTCTATGTATTTTCCTGTTGGAATGATTGAGGTTTCTTGAGGCACAGGAAACACTTAGAAAGGGGAAAATGAAGTCCATGAATGATCATAACAGCTGCGGTGGTAATAATAATAATAATGCTAATAACAATCACTTGTTGGGGTTCTCCCTCTCACCCGCCATGAAAATGGATGCTTACACAGCTGCCACTTCTGCTCCTACAAGCTTCTACCATTCTCTTTCTCCCCTCCACTCTTCTGGTCTCTGTTATGCTGTTGGGGAAATCGGTGCCTTTCATTCTCCCTTGTCTGCTATGCCTCTCAAATCTGATGGCTCTCTTTGCATCATGGAAGCTTTCTCAAGATCCCAGACTCGTAGTATGCTTTCTATTATCCCCTCCAAAAAAAAATCTCTTTTTTTTTTTTCTCCCCTTATTTTGTGGTATGTTGAAAAAATAATACTGTTATTGTTTTGAATGTGGAAAGGTATGGTTCCAAATTCTAGTCCTAAGCTGGAGGACTTTCTGGGAGGTGCAACAATGGGGGATGGTGAGTATGGTAGCCATGAGAGGGAAGCTGGGATTCTTAGCTTGGACAGCATATATTATACCCAGCAGGATGTTGAAGAAGAAGCTGCAAGGCAGAGGTGTTTGGGGTTGGGGTTCCATCAAGACCCACAAAATCACCATTCTTACTACTCTAACCTGCAAATAGCTCAAATGCCAGGAAATGATGAGCTCAAAAACTGGGCTTCTGTTCAACTCTTTGGACAACAAGCACCTGAACAACAACAGATAGGCACCACCACCACTGCCCTGGTGGGTGATGGTGGTGGGGGTAATGACTTGCAGCCTTTGAGTCTTTCCATGAGTCCTGGCTCTCAGTCCAGCTGTGTTACTGCTGCTAGGCAAATTTCTCCCACTGATTTGGAATGTGTAGCCATGGACTGCAAGAAAAGGGCCTCTGGGAAACTGGCAACAACAAAACAACCCATCCACAGAAAATCCATAGACACCTTTGGTCAAAGAACCTCTCAGTATAGAGGTGTAACAAGGTCAATTCAAATCAAAATCTTGTCTTCAATTTATACTTAGGATTTATTAATGATGCCTTTAATCTCTGAAATATTATGATTCCAACAGACATAGGTGGACAGGCAGGTATGAGGCCCATCTTTGGGATAACAGTTGCAAGAAGGAAGGGCAGACTAGGAAAGGGAGGCAAGGTCAGTCTATGGGAAAACCACAGGCCTTAGAACATATTTGTTTGGATATATTTGTTTACAGCACCCAGTTTTTGGCCACATTATTGTCTTCATGGTCTGACTTTTAATATGAACTTTTGGCATGTGCATTCTTGCTGGGGATATGCTATTCTAATCAACTGCTGCTGATCTTTTTAGTGTACTTGGGTAAGCCATGTTCTATTAATTTAAATACTAAAAGATTTGGCAAACATTAATTTAATCTAATCTAATCTATATTTCAGGAGGTTATGACATGGAAGAGAAAGCTGCAAGGGCATATGACCTTGCTGCTCTCAAGTATTGGGGACCTTCAACCCACATTAACTTTCCAGTATGGTTTAGTTCAACACTGTCTAAGTTTGTTAATCTGCATATGCATGTTTAAAACATACTGATAGGGCACTGGATTTGGTTCGTGTCGTTTTGCAGCTGGAAAATTACCAGAAAGAGCTCGAAGAAATGAAGAACATGACACGCCAGGAACATGTTGCCCATCTGAGAAGGTAAATGAATGAATAAATTAAACTAATTGGAAGATAAATGTGTTGTTTTAGTAGCTAATTCACTTCCTTATGTTGCAGGAAAAGTAGTGGATTCTCTAGGGGTGCTTCGATATATCGAGGAGTGACAAGGTCCTTAACGTTTCACTTAATTAGGAAATGAAAGTTTCGAGTTTAAACTTTGAATGACGATTTTATTCGCCCCCGTTTAACAGGCACCATCAACATGGACGGTGGCAGGCGCGAATAGGCAGAGTTGCAGGAAACAAGGACCTTTATCTCGGGACCTTCAGTGAGTTTTCGCTCCCTACTTCTCTCAGTAGTTTAGTTGCCCTGCAAATTCCATGCTTGATAGAACAATAATGCTGCAACTTTGTCCTGGAATTGAGTCTTTTCTGTCTTTTTAGCTGCTATGATGCTTTTGACTGCATCATTACTAATGTTTAGTGGAACTTCTTTAAAAACTTTTCCCTCCCGAGTGCATGAAAAGACAGATTTGCCCTCACGGGAAGCTCAGTTGGTAGATTGTGGGCCCGGACGAGGGCGAGTATTTTGTGTATTTACACTATGCTTAATACATGCTTAAATGATTATTATGGTTTATGTACTTTACAGGCACCCAAGAAGAAGCTGCAGAAGCTTATGACATTGCTGCAATCAAATTCCGTGGCATTAGTGCTGTCACAAACTTTGACATTTCCAGATATGACGTGGACAAAATCTTGGCGAGCAATTCTCCGGCGGCCGGAGAATTATGCCGGCGAAACAAAGAAGCCGCCGTGGAGTATAATGACATGGTTGGTCATCAGGAAAATAACAGTAGTACTACTGGGACTGTTTCGGACTGGAAAATGGCATTGTATCAGGCGCCGCCGCAGCAGCAAGAAGAACAGAATGCATGTTTTGAATCAAATCAGCAAAAACCCATCTTCTCAATGGCGGTGCAGAATCTGATAGGGATGGATTCATCAATAATCCCCTCGGTTGAGACCGCCATTAACGAACCAAACAAGCTCAGCACCACCCATTTCTCCAACCCATCCTCCCTCGTCAGCAGCCTGAGCAACTCCAGAGAAGCCAGCCCGGAATCAATGGCGTTCGGCGGCGCAAAGCCGACACTGGAAACCAAATTCTTGATTCCCACGACAAACAACGTACGACGGTCGCCTATGGATATCCCACTGTCCATGGCTCACCTTCCACTGTTCGCCGCCTGGAATGACAACTCTTAAAACTTCCCATACTTTCTGTTAACACGTGAAAGACTGAAAGCTAGATTCTTGCATGGAAACAGGAAATCAACAGGACGACGTAGGAATTTACGTACTACAATCACGAAATGAATTACGACCTAGATTGTCTGTAACTTAGTTTTGGATTCTGGGGTATACTGCCATTTAGATTCTGCAATGAAATGAAATCAAATATTTTCTGCAAATTAAAATACAGATTCCAGCTCGATCAGATCAATGTTTCTTCATTCCAATAATGCAGAAAAAGCTAAGGAATCTTAATGCTTTGTCCAGATAATGATATGATCTGCTATCTAATCTTGAATTATGCCATTATTACCTCTCTCATTGTTCAAAAAAGGGGTGAGAGAGATGCAGATTATTCTACTGTAGTATAAGGTGACAACGTTAAGTTAGTGGGCTACATTAAGGATTTAGGATCATAATTACTTGGCCTACATACAACTTTTTCTTGGATATTTATAAAGTTAGATTCTTTGGCATTAAATTAGGTTGCTGATGATGAAATTCTATTGGATCTACGCCGGCCTCTAGTTTCCATCCTCTGTTTCTTTTGTCATCTCTCTCTACCCAGAACCAATGTCATGTCTTGATGTGCCATCCACCACTATAAACTATAAACCAAATTCAACTCAGAAAAATGCTATTTGCAGAATTGCAGCTATCCAAAATTATATACTCAGTAGGATTTTTTTTTAATTGATTCTTTGATTTTTGTGATTTTTTACTTATAGTCTTCCATAATTATTATTGTTATTATTATTTTCACTATTAGTCTCTTCTCTTTGAATTTTTATTATTGTTATTTCTGTCTGTTAGTTTTTTAGTTAAATATCACCTAAAATTAGAATTTTTTTTCAACTATATATTACTAAAAAAAATTCGTCAAAAAGATTAGAAGTGACCAAGAATTCAAAGTAGTTTGCATCAAGTTATTCAGCTCCGTCAAGCTAATCCTGAACTCTTAGAACGTACATATTTCTTAATATTTAAGAGCATCCACTATAGAGAAGAATGAGGAGTTATTTCACAACTTTTGAAGTGCAAATGCCATGTTGGAGGAGAGAGGTGAAGAGAGAGTTTTTTTTTTTTTTTTTTTTTTTCTGCAAATGCCAAGTTATTTCTCTTCCCAAGGAAGTTATTTCGCGCACAGCAACTGCCACGCCGGGCGCGCCTGACAAGGCCACTACTTTATTTTTTTTTAAATCATTTTTGGTTTTTTTTTTCCTCCCCTTCCCACATTCTCTTTTCTAATCACTCTTACATTTTTCTCCAAATTTCTCCATCTGGCTAATAAGTATTACACATTTTATGTAAGACGGTCTCAAAAATCTACTTAAATATTTTATTCATTCATTTAAAAATCTAACTTTACAGAATATTATATTATATTAACAGTCTATTTATAAATTGTCATAAATTATTGGGTAATCAACATTTCAATTTTCAAATATTGGTAAGTGCAAATGAATCTTTATGGTAACGATTGAATCTTTTTCAATAAATCAAAGATGTGTGTGAATGAACACAAGATTAATTATTGACTATACATGCATAATCTAAGGAGAAGTAATATGGTCATTGGATTGTATCAAAGCAAGCGGTTTTGCATGGACATTTGTACGGTCCAGATTAATTAATATTAAGGTGGGGCCCTAAAAATGATGAAATTGAGCACCACGAATGTGAGATTCTATAGATCTCATAATAATCATGATGTTATTCTTCTATCCTTATCATCAACAACTTCATTAGCTGGCCATATTTGCGCAGTTTTTTTTTTTTTTTTTTTTTTAATAACAATATTCAGAGCTTTATACTTTATATGTTTATATCGCTTGGGTTAATAAAGATAATTTATCTTTTTAAAGATTTAAATTTGATTTGATTGCTAATACTTTTTTAATGGCTAAAGTAAATTTAACAAGTCTAATTTATGTTGCCAATCATTTCATTATATTTGTGGATAATCTATAAAGAAAAGTTATAATTCTAGTCTTGATATTATATACCTCACCACTTTATCTATATTGATTGAATAGATCGAAAGAAAAGAAAAAACGCCAAATTGTCCTTTAAACCTAATGATCAATAAGCATATATATCAAGTGCCTTTAGATCATCTCCAAAGAATTAGATGGCAAATCAACATTTAGGCAAAAAAAATTGACTCGGCTAGCCTCCAAAGAACATGGTAATACGGAAAATTTTTTGTTAGGGGTGAACAGTGTTACACTATATTTAGCGTAATATTATTCATTAACAATAAAATTTAAATTTTTTTCACTGTTTGCCCTTGTTTTTTTTTTTTTTTTTAATTAATTTGTTTTGTATCCTTTTTGTATAGAGTTATATTTACATATTTTGTTAAATACTTAGACATAAATTTAACTCCAGATTGGGACTGGAGTTGGATGGGCCAGGGTTGGGGTTAGACTCTTAATTTATGCGCTGAATTATACAATCAAGTGTGAGTCTCGCCAAGCACCTTGTGCTCAGATGACATGTAGTGGCCTCTCCCATGTTAGATGTCATGAGATTGAACCTCAGAGGAGGCGTTAACTCTTTGTGTTTCATTAGGTTGAACAGATACTACAAATACTAATAATAATTTATAACATAAGAAAAAGTTTAAATACCTACAAATTTTATTTACATTTTTTCATAGATAAATTTGTTTGATTGATGGAAGAAGAAAATTGAAAAATGTGTACCAAATAGGAAAGTGTGTTTCTTCTCTAATAAAAATCTAAATCGATAGTTGATATACTATATGTTAAGTAAAAAACTTCAAACTTGTTAAAGTTTTATTTTATTTTTATTTATTTATTTATTATAAAGGGCATGCATCTGATGAATGAGAAGAAAACAAACATATAATAGCAAAATATATAATACATGGATCCTTAACTAATTAATATAATATGAAGAAGAAGGGAACAGTAGACATGCATGATTGATGAAGTTCGTGGGCACAAGGGAACAATATAGTGTTTAATGGTCAAAAAGGACACAATATTTGTGGAAAATAATGGAAAGCGTATAGGGATATATGTATCATATCAATAATTATTACCGGCATACATATATATAATATATGCAACTAAAAAGGTGAAAATAATGGTGATTTGAAACTGGATGGGCTGGCCTGCAGGTCGTGCATGCTAGCTAGCTAGCTTTGCTTGGCAGATTTGGTATCAGCTATTGGGCAGGATTGATGTTTGGTCAAAGTTAATGATTATTTCATGGGTTAATTAGTTGTCGACAGCTGCATGCTCGACCTGCTACTTTGCTTGTGTACTAATTAATCAAAGATCCTATGAGCGGCTAAGAAAATTATGTATATATCTGTCGTCGTCTTTGTATAGTTCTTCTGATCTGGTCTTCTGCGATTTTATATGGTCCTGTTTTCTTCACTGCATGCGTTCTACCTGCTGCAAAAACGTAACTTTACTTTAATTTTCTCTCATGCGAAATCCACATACGATAAACCGAATGTTGACTTGAAATAAAGGTCGTCGTCGAGGATGTTTAATTTTGTTTGAATTGTCGTCCTAGCTAGCTAGCTAGAATAAACCCTGCCCGCCTTGGGGCACGTATGATATATATGAAGGAACGTATACACGTGAGGAACAAGCTCAACATTATATTGTGTTATCCTTGATGGAATGTTGGATATTGATTAATATACTTTGTGACACTAATGACTACTCAAGTTAATTTCATTTCTGATTCTAAATTTATAAATGAGAGTCATTTTTTATTAGAACATCCTCATTTAGTCATAGTATTATTATTGTGTGATGATCATTTTTAGTTCTCAATCAATAAAATCGTTGAAGTGTCGTTAAATACAAAGACATTTCGATCTTTTTTATACAAAGTAAGTTGACCTGCTATATTCTTTATGTTTTTTTTTTTTAAATTATAATTGAAGATCAAAATGTCATTGTTTTTTTTTAAAAAAGCTACTGGCTCTATTACATTGTAGTATCTGTTCGTCTATACTTTCTTAACCTGTTGAAACACAAAGACCTGTTGAAACACAAAGAGTCAACATCGCCTCTACTGAGGCGAGATCTCATGACCTCTCATATGGGAGAGTCACTACATGCCATCTGAGCACAAGGTGTTTGGCAAATGTCCTTTTATTTAATGATATTTAAATTATTTTGTTGACAAAAGTGATCGGAAACAAGGCGTTGAAATTTACTCTCTATCATGTTTTAATATTTTCTAATATTAGTTACTGGCTTCATATACTTTCTCAACCTACTGAAACACAAAAAATCAATAACGCCTCCAATAAGGCTCGAACTCATAATCTTCCAGATGAAAGTCCAACCCGGGTACCATTAGACCACATAGTCCTGGTATCGTTGTTGTTATTGTTTCAATCAAAAGGTGACATTATACCAAGTAAAGAAAACATTAATAACTGCTAATTAAAAAACTAATGCATATATTGTTGTTTTGTTTTGAATAAGTAGCACTAATTATTTTCAAATAATTCTTTGTGCAGCTACTAGAAAAGGAAAAAACTCATGATCTTAGTAGCTACCCATATTGCATCATTGCATTTGTCTCCTTTCATCATCCGCAGGCAATTCAACCCAAAAATATAGTTTAATTCAAATCAAATCACCACTAAACATACAAGTGTTGGGCCATCAATTAGGCCCAACATCCTGAATGTGTGTGTGTTGGATAACCAGCTAAGTTGGGCTAAATTTGCCGTTATTAAATTTGGGCCCTTCCTTTCAAAAAATGAGCCCGTTGATCCACTAAGCACACGTTATGCCATGGAACCGTGTTCACCATTCATGGTGAACACGGTTCCAACGATGTTAGTACACCGTTATCTTTTTTTTTTTTTTCTTAATTAATTGCGTGACTTTTCTTCTTTATTTTCACATTTTGCGGTTTCACTTTAATTTGAGATGAACAAAGGTTTCGGACATTCATAAATTATGAATTCATGCCTGCACATTCACTTTGGAACCATGCCTACACATTCCCATCCGAAATCACGGACATTCATAAATTATGAATCCATGCCTGCACATTCACTTTGGAACCATGCCTACACATTCACTTTGGAACCATGAGATTATGAATTTTCTGTTATAAGATTATGAATTTTCTGTTATGAGATTATGAATTTTCAGTTGTGAGATTATG